AGACCAGGCTGACCTTGAACTCACAGAGATCTGCCTGCCTCTGACTCCCGAGTGCTGGGATTATAGGCGTGGGTCGCCACCACCACAGCCCGGCCATCTTTGTTTTTTAAAGAACTTTATGCTGCCTTAGGGTACCTAGTCTTACCTCATCCATCCATTTATTCTTTCATCCAGTGAATATTTCAGAGCATCTACCATATCTAGGTGTTTATGCAAAGGATACCGAGTACCTAAGTAGGGAACAGGACCAGTACATAAACTATCTAGTAATGCCAGCACTTTAAACACATGTCAACCAAGTTATCATTACTGACTGTCATTTAGTTTCCGACTTAAATCCTTCCTAAAGGCACTTCCACACAAAATCAAACTTGGTTATAATGTAACAACTCCAGGCCACAAAGGAAGAAAGGAGGTAAGGTGTGTTTTCAACACTAAATTCTGTTACTGTTTCTTGGCACACAGCAAAAAAATAAAAAAAACAATTTCTAGCAAATACATATCGAAGCATGATCAAAGTGAACTTAAATAAGGACTCAGAGCCCCTGCAAAGTTCCAGAGTTAAGAGGAAACTGCTAAAAGTCATCCATACGACATTGATGATTCATTCTTTACGAGCCATACAGCTGTTTATAACCATATTCTCTCCCCAGAGGATCCAGTCCCTCACCCATGCGTGCTTGTCTCAATGGCAATCTCAAAGCTATGGGAAAACAGAAGAGCCTTCCCTACTAAAACATTCAGAGTTCCTGTGTCATTATTTGACCTATAAAAGGAATTCCCACTCTATTATTTTTCCAGCTTTCTGCACATGTATCTTCAATTTCTTCATTTTAAATTATCCTAGTAGTTATCTTTAATTTCATCCTCCAATACAGAATTCATCCAAATCATCCGGGCTCTTGACCTGATGCTGAGATCAATCCTTTTAATCTCACATCTACTTCTCCCAGAGCATACTGCCTCCCACTGGGACACAGCCTCTAACTCTGGGTTCCATGTTGAGAATCTCTTTTTACTCCAATCTACCTTGTAGGACGCTATTTTGTACTTTTTTTTTTTTCCAAGACAGGGTTTCTTTGTGTAACAAACAACCCTGGCTGTCCTGGAACTCCCTTTGTAGACCAGGCTGACCTCGAACTCACAGAGATCCGAACTCACATCGCCTCTGCCTTCCAAGTGCTGGGATTAAAGGTGTGTGAGTAGGATGTTATTTTAGAGACAGCATGAGCCCTTGGTTGAGCAAATGAAAATCACCTGTGGGCATCTGTCTGCCCCCCTATGCCTCCCGCTACCATATGTCACCATCGAGAAGTTAAGTAGGACAGTAGGAAACACTTTCCAATCAACTTCCAGTTTTTCCTATCCCATAAACTCACCACTGGATAGATGTGTTCACTGCCCCCAAACAAACTAAATCTTAAATAATCACAAAAATCATAAAGTCCTTTTTCTTTAGACCCTCCCTCCCCAAAGGAAGTCAGAATCACAAAGTCAAACGTTTTCATATACATGTGCTCATCGGAAGAAAATAAAGCGAGGCAAAGAGCGACCCACCTTGTGTCTTCCTCTGAAGACATTTGCAGTGGCCCCCTGGCCCAAGATATCAGACAAGAGCCACAAATGGTTGGACGTACTCTGCATCTTCTCGGCTTGCTCGGGCGCTTCTCCTCACGCTGAGGGGAGAGAAGAGATTTGCATGTAGGCTGGTAAGGAAATAACACCGCCAAGAAACAAACGTTAGCCACGTTTCATCTGAAGTGGGACTATGTATTATTTACTGCCAAGCAGGAGTGCGTGAACAGTCCAGTGTTAAAAATGTTTCTAACAATATTAGAGGACAAAACACTCTGTGGGCACTACAGAAAAAAGCCCACGATATTAAAACCACTGACACACATTCAATTGTTTTTGCTATGCTTTGGAGATGGCCTTTTACCGTATTTCCCAGCCTGGCCTTGAGCTCTCTACATAACCCTGCCTGCTTTTCTGCCTTGGCCTCCAGAATGATAGAATTACAAGTAGATCTGGCTTTTTTTTGGGGGGGGGTATGAGTGTATGGGTCTCTGTGTGTGATGCTGGAGGAGGTGGGAGAAGGTTGGACCCCCAGGAGCTGGAGTTAGAGGTAGTTGTGACCTGCTTGCTGTGGGTGCTGGGAGCTCCACTCCCATCCTGCACAAGAGCAGCAAGGGTTCTTCAACACTGAGCCGTATCTCCTATACCCCCATGTTGGGCTTTCTTTTCTTCATATATTCAATTTAGTTTCTATCTCAGAACAACAAAAAAAAAAATCTCTCCATTATCTAATATTGTCTTTGCCAATTAGAGTAATACTGACTACTTATCTCCTCCAACTGTTTTGAAAGATTAATAGATTAATCATTGATTTTTTTTGACACGGGGGGGGGGGGGGGGAGCTTATAGCCTACATTAGTCTTGAACCCGCAGTCTTCCTGCCTTCACCTCCCACATGCTCGGAGGCAAATTAAAGAAATTAGGCTAGCACAGATACTAACAGAAAGCAATCATGACTACGTAATAGTTCCATCATGCAAAATTTCATCTGCACAGAAACTGTAATTAAGAAGTCTAAAACTTATTATTCCTGAAAAGTCAGTAACTCCTCTGATGCTGTTTAAGGACGGGTTCCTGGGCCAGTGAAATGGTTCAGTGGGCAAAGGGGCTTGCTGCCACACCAGACAACCCAAGTTCAGTCCCTGGCACCCATGTGGCAGAGGGAAAGGACTATCTGTGCCACAACAGGCATGAGCCCCCCCCCCAATAAATAAAATGTAAAAAAAAAAAACCACTGAAAAGCAGCCATTTCCCTAACTTCTAAATAGACAGGTATACACACACCAAGTACATATTCCCAAGTCTTAAGAAGTACCAGTAGCAGACGTGTCCTTTGAACACAGGAAAGCTGTGCAACTGAAAAAAAGGGCACTCACATTAGACACATCGGACTCCTCCAAGTCTGCTCTAAGTTTGGACCACAAAAATCTTACAGTCCATTTCCGGTCAGTTAGAATTTCAGTCTTCCAAGGATGGTTAGGAACATAGACAATGGCCAAGGGTCCAAGTTTCACCAATCTCTTAATATACTAGCTATCTTTATAATTTTATCACCTATGCAATTTAGATAAATAATTGCCCATCCAATCTATTTGAAGTAAGCAATAAGAATAATACTCACTAGCCAGATGTCCTGCATGTATGTGTGTGTGAATAAGACTCGCTTTTCATAAATAATAAATGCATTTACCAATTACTGCATTTCATTCAAGAGATGGTAAACCCAAATATGTAATGGAAAACCTTCCCTAGCTGATGTTACATTGTTGCTGTCAGATAACTACATGACAGTATCATCGAGTACTTATGTGTAGCTAGTGGATAATTAAAAACACACTTGGCTAAGATACCTGCTTTCTACCTACCAATGTAAAAAGATGGGTCCACGACAGTGATGGTTTGAAACTTTCTTCCAATAACCCCCTCCTGACTAAAACATGACTCAGCACACCCACCCGACGCTTGCTATTAAGTCTCCCCAAATTTTGATAAGCGTGTAAACTGGCATTCAACAAGTACAATACCGGCGACACTGTCGTCAGTCTACTTCCTTTAATTGTTTAAAACGAAAGTTACCAGGGATAAAACAGGTTTGGTGGCAATGGTGTACGGACAAAGTTGCTGGATTTCCAAACTCAAGTCAACCATTTGTTCGATAGATAGTAGAGGTTCCAGAGTGGGGAAAAGGTCGGGTTTTGATGATGCATTTGACAGTTCTCGGGGAGAACCTGTCTTGGGACGACTGGCAGAAAACACCAGGGGAATGCATTAGGCAAATCAACCCACAAGCTAGGTGGAAGAGGAACAAGAAAACATGGGAATTTGCATTTTTTTTTTTTGCCCGTGCACAAAAAAAACCCCCAAAAACAAAAAAACCCCGTCTCGTGCTGGCAGCCTCGGGTGAGTCAACCTTTGCGACGGTCTGTTCGGCGGCTGCCAGTCCATTTAAACCCTGGTGTGTGTCAGCTGGGCCAAGGGTGGGAGCGGCGAGCCAACTCCGGGCTGGGCGGGCGGGCGGGCAGCCCTTCTGCCCGGGTGGCCAGGGCCCAGGCGGGGCGAGCGCGCGGCTGCGGGACCCCTCCGGGCCGCGGCCCTGCTCTGACGCAGCATCTCGCCTCCCCGACCCCCGGGGCGCGCCGGCCCGCTCCGCCCGAGCCCGCCCGACCCCTCTTACCCAGCCGAGTCCCTTCTCCGGCGCGCACGGCCCGCGGCTCCGGGGCCTGCTCGCGCCCCAGGCTACTTCCGGCTTCGCCAGCCCCGGCCGCGGAGCACGTGACCGACGGCGGCGGCGGCGGCGGCGGGGGGGGGGCGCGCCTGCGCGTGCGCACTCCCGCGGGCCTATGGGGCCGCGGCGGCCGAGCATCTCTCTCTCTCTCTCCCCGGAGGCTGCTGCAGTCAGCGGTGCGGGACGGCGCCTGCCCCGCGGGCGGAGGTCAGGAACTCTCTGCACCGCAGAGTGAGGGCGGCGAGCTGGCGACGCCCACAGTCTCAGGTGCGCAGGATGCCGGCCGCCGAGGACTTTCGCAGAGGGTTGGATTGGGGGCCGGGGGGGGGGGGGGGTTGTGTTTAAACATCACTTGGCTTGCATGAGCAAGAAGCGGTTCATAATGTCCATTCTGCTCTTGAAACTGGGAGTGCTGGAGAGTTTAAGCACTGAACTTGACAACTTAACCCAGTACTATGATTAGGTCCTGCTCAAGGCAGACTCCAGTGGATCCTAGGTGTGACTTCTGAGCAGGGAAAGGAAGGGGGTGGGTCCCAGAGCAGATCTACACCGATGGACCAGGTTAAGGGCAAAGGCTTCCACTGGAACAGACCAAGGGCTGAAGTCTCCACCCACTCCTGACCTGAAACTCTCTAGGCCTGTTTTCATCACATGAAAAATGGAGATTTAAAAAAAAAAAAAAGAAGCCCAATCCAAGGAGTTCTTAGAAAGAAAGTTATTTTATTAGAATTTTAAACAGTTTAGGCAATGAAATCATTCTAACAGTAAATGCACTTTCTGCTTACAATTAAAACCTATTTCAGTTCTGATAATGACATGAGTGACAGGTCCCTCCAAGTCAGAAAAACCCACAGCTCAAAAATTATGGAGGAAATAGGACTAAGCCAAAGGACTTCCCATGTTTACCACATAAGTGATACACATTAAAATACCACATAGTACTTTCTTCAAAAGTCAAGCCACTGGTGAGCCCATTAGCAAGCATGGAGACTGAAACAAAACGGTTTGGGCACCACAAAACCCATGTCTTCCACCTCTGTCTTCTCACCTGTAACAAGTGAGACTGACTCTTGAGACAATTATTTGGGTGCTTGCTCTTAAAAATAAGGTACCTAATGATGGGACAGTTTCCTGTCATGACGGTAACCTCCAGGAATGAAGATGAGCATTCTTATACATGATTACATTGACATGAAGTTCCTGACTTCTACACTCTGATTCCCCCAGCCTGATCCCGAAGGTCTAAACACACGTTACTCTATTGTGGGGCTTTAAAGAGCCATGGACGGACTCAATAGTACAGTAATACAAGCTAATACTGAGACCTATGTTTTAATTCATTGAATTCTTAACAAGTTATGAGGTAGCTACCATTATTTCCCCCATTTCTGAGGGGGAAACCAAGGCAGGAAGAAATCATTTAACTTGCTCAAGGTCCTAAACTCAGTTACTGGTGTAAGTGGCGTTGGAACCTACTTAACTTGGGTCCAGAGTCCACAGTATACAGGTCTTGTTCACTACTATGTATGCTAGTCACTACAATACCTTGTGCAATCACTGTTGCAACAGAAGCTATTACACCTCACAGTGCACAGGAAAATAGCAAAGAAACACCCAGTTTTGCTTGTCTTTTTTGTTTTTGAAACCGAGTCTCACTCTGGCCCAGACTGGCCTTGGCCTCCTCTGAATGGTGTGATTATAAGCATGAGCCACCAAACCTGCCCCACTTACCTATTTTTTTTTTTTTTACAAAAAAATCATTATTTATTGAAGTATTATATACTTCACTAATCTATTTTTATCATTCAGTAGAACTATTCTTAGCTGCCCATTTTACTGCCTTTATTTTATAATAGAAGGAAAATGCTGACTATCTCTTGTGGAGTTAAAATCAGAAAAAGATCCATGTGCATAATTCAGAGTAAATCTAGGGCTCCGCAGGTCAGTGCTTTCTGAACAAGAGTGAGGACTGAATTTGGATATCCAGAACCCACATAAAAGCTGGTACAGTCACCATCTGCAACCTGAGGACTAGCACACAGAGACAGGAAGTCTGCTGGCCAGCCAACCTCGCTGAGACACTGCGCTCCAGGTTCAGTGGAAGACACTCTCAAAAAAGGTTCTTATCCACCTAACCCCCAACACACACACAGATGTACGTAGGTACACACACACACACATTCCAGGCCATTCACGTGTCACAAATCCACGGACAACACACACACACACACACACACACACACACACACACACATCCCTCCTGAAATCTTTTTGTCTGCTCCCTGTTCTGTGGTAGTAGGGACCGAACTCAGGTTCTCAAGCAAGTGCTCTACCACTCACTAAGTACTATACCCCCAACTTCTCAGAAAGCCATCAGGGTTCTACCTGCTATACTTTTAGGCAGGTTCTCATGTAGCCCAGGCTTGCCTTAAGCTCACGATGTAGCAGAGGACAGCCTGGGACCTCTGATCTCTTCCCTATTTCCCCCTCTACTTTTATGCAGTGCTGGGTATGGAACCTGGGACTCGGCACGCTTGGGAGTTAGACCCGGGCCTTACCTGGGCCTTTAAAACTGAAACTGCATGTCTATGGCGATGCTGCTGTAGTTCTGTCCTTTTCTAAGGTTCCCACTGCACCCACACCTCTTCTTCCAGCTCTTCCTATAGCAACAGCAGTCCTTGTAGTAATGAAGCAGTGACTGACTACAAAGTCATCAACACACAGGTGGTCAGACCTGGTGGGTGATTCACACCTTTAATCCTAGCAGCTGGGAGGCAGAGACAGCAGAGCTCTGAATTTGAGGCCAGCCTGGTCTAATATAGCGAGACCCAGTCTCAAGACAAAAACAAACAAACAAATCTAAGTGTACTTACTGTGCTCTAAGTACACCTAATTCATAGACAAACACTGGGATTTATAATCCTATCATAGATTCATGGAGCCAGTTTCTAGTGCATTTAAAAAAGACTAACTTAACAGACCTAAGCTGAGTGACCTTTAGGGGCGTAGTCAGTGAACTGAGGCATCCACATTCATCTCTGCAAACCTTGAGGTGGAAATCAGAGTGACTCAGGTGGGGAAATGAGGCTATTTGTAAGAATTCCGGAGAAGACTTGGTATATTTCACTATGTAAAATTTATTTTTTTATAAAAAATGTGTAACACCAGCACCTACTTTTAAACTGACTAATTTAGGAACCCATTCTCTTATAGAATACACATTGGCATTAAAACAGTTTCAAGAAATGTAACGGCTATCTACAGAAAATTATGTTTTGATTGTTACCCCATAGTTTATGTGTGTGCACACATAAAACTGAACATTTCCAACTTTACATTCAATTGTTAGTCAGTTTCCCACTGCTATAGTTTTTCTTATAAAGAACTTTAAAGTTTCATATAAAGAAAAAAATTAAGGTACTAGGATAAATCTATGTCTTTAACAGCATTTTTACATAAACAATTTAAACTGGCATGCAGGCAACTTTTCTTGTTGTCACATACCTGTATTTAGGGAAAATTACACCCATTTTACAGAAAATCCCACATACACAGCAATAAGCTCAAAACAACGTTAAAAGAAGGTGTGATGGCACACAAAACTGCTTCTTTATAAATTATGAACCAGAATTCCTGGTCTTGACACAGGACAGGGAATCCAGTCCTCAGGGCTTCGCTCTCTGGAAGAACACCTGGAAAACAGCATTGAAACAGCGTGTCAGGCAGACAGCTCTGGGAGGCTTCTGAAGGCTAGTCGCCCCTGGTAACATTGAAACAGCGTGTCAGGCAGGACAGCTCTGGGAGGCTTCCGAAGGCTAGTCGCCCCTGGTAACAAACACTATTGCCAGGAGCAATGGCAGTCAGGAGACAGCTTTTGGCAGCTTTTTATTTACTGGGAAAATTAACAGTGGAATACTAAATTCAAGGAAGAAAAAAAGTCAAAGATAAGACAGAAATATTAAGTCTTAAAAGATTTACTATGTATTTGGTGATTTAAAAGCTATTTCCAGTTCAACGTTTGAGACAAAAGCGTGGACTAGAAGTCATGCTAAGCACTGCCCAGCAATGCAGTACATCCGCAGTGATGTCACTGACTGAGTGCTGGAGATGGTAATGGCAGGCTGGGAGCTCATGGAGAAGGATCGTATTCATCATCATATTCCTAAGATCTAGATAGCTGGGTTCACCCGACAACCTAAGTGAGAGAGGATGGGCACGGTGACTCACACTGGAGATCCTAAGAGTTGGGAGGCCAAGGCAGGAAGACAGTGAATTCTAAGCTAGCCTGGGCTACATAAGAGATCCTGTCTCAAAATAAACCAAAACCAAAAAGTGCTAAGAATGACCACTGAATGAGCAAGAGAAAGCCTTCCTAGAAGGCTGTCTTAGTTAGCTTTAACTGTCAAGTTGACACAGCCTAGAGCCCCCAGAGAAGGAGTCTTGATTGAGGGACTTCCCAGATCACACTGGCCCATGGGACACTGTCCTGACTGTTAACTGATAGAGGCTGGACCACCCAACCGTGGGCAACGCCAATCCCTGGGTAGATGGTCTTAGACTGTGTAAGAAAACTAGCTACTCATTAGCCTGGGACGAGCCAGCAGGCCGTGGTCCTCCATGATTTCTGCTTCAAGTTCCTGTCCTGAATGCCCTCCCGATGACCTGTGACCTGTAAACTCTTCCTCCACTAAGCTGCCCTTGGCCATGGTATTTGTCCCATCACCAGGAAGAAACTAGAACAGAGCATGGCCAAGGCAAGCAGAGACCAGCACAGAATTCCTGGTGGAGGGCCAGGAATAAGGCAGAGTTGAAGAACAGCAAAGACGATTCTTACAGGAGACATAAAAACCCGGTCTGACATCAGACTATGAAAACAACTGAGACCCCAGATGAGCAGCATGAACTTGTCTTAGGAAACAGTACTTCCAGAAAGAACAATGGATGAAGGAACACTTGATAGCCCAGCCAGGCTGTCACAGAGGAGGAACACTGAGTGAGATAGCGTAAGCCGTCCAAGGGAGCAGGGAGGAATCGGTACAGTGATCAGCCAGCCAGGCAGAAGAAAACGCGAACACTGAGACGCGGCTCTCCGTCACTGAGGAGCTGAGCCAAGCCCGTCAGTGCAGTGCATGTGAACAACACCCGAGACAAGCCTTCTGCAGCGCCCGGGACTTCCTCTTCCTACCCAGGAGGGCTCATTTTCACAGGCGCTTTCCTTCTTTTCCCCCAGTGTTAAGAAAGTTAAAAAACAAAAAATGTTTCCTTTACGCTAATAACTGATGAGGGACAATGTCAGAATTGAACAGGATAGCAAATGCTTTTGACTTATAAATTCTCTTTAGTTTAGTTTGTGCTATTTTTTCTGATGCTAGGCAAGTGTTCTACTACTGACCTATATCTCCTATAGCTCTTGACTTCAGAATTCTACTAAGTGGAGCCAGGGAACCAACCACTCACTCATAACTTGTTACCAGAAATGTAGCACACAGGGCTTTGCTTTTCAGTCTGTGCACGGGAAGTACCAAGTATACGCGAGAACCAGTTCTGGTTCTGGCACAGTGACTGCGCTCCTTGAGCAGGGAACTCACCCGTACTGGTACCTGCAGCACCATCTGGTGTCTGGACATAAAAAACAGCTGTAAGCAGGAAAAAGTAACCTCCACCTGTTCTCTCTGTTTAGAAAGGGTCTCACTATGTAGCGGAGGCTGACCACTAACCAACCTGTGATCCTCCTGCCTCCATCTTCCAAGTGCAGGGATTACTAGTATACACCACCCATTGAGGTGTTTAATTTTATTTATTTATAAATTTAATGCTTTTTGAATGTAAAACACAGCCTTCTTGGCCAGATCCAAAGGGTATCCCTTTTGTTTGCTCTACATCCAAATGTTTCAAAATAAACTATAAGTGAGTGGTTTGTGCTTCTGTATTTTCAGATCCTTTCAACTTAATGAGCAACTGTTCACAAAATTTCTTTTCTTTCCATCTTCTAATACCCATTTAATTACATCATAAAACTATAAAACAACAAGAAAACCCAAACCCAGGCATTTTTATACCATATGTTCAGGCTCTTTAGACAATTAGTATAAATATCTAATTATCTTTTTCAATAGCTTAGTTCAAAGAGGATTCACAAAAACTTCTGCAATTACATCTTCCTAGGGCAAAGAGACCCCAAAGTGAGTGAGTCAGTCAAACTGCACCCTCAAACGTTACCTCGCTGTATAAAGATGGGGACTTTCTCCAAATACCTACCTTAAGGTAATTTTTAAAAACTTTAGCATCAGGCTGCTGAAGCGCTTGACAGAACTCCTGGGGGGACAAGGAGGGAAGAGAAATAGGAAATCCATTTAATGCAAGCCCACAGCATCCTTTTTGTTTTAAATTGAGGGCAATGAACACAAACACAGCTTCGCATGCACAGTACATGTTAACCTCGTGTATGGCAGCTTGCACAGGCTGTCTCAGCCTGCAGAAACGAACGCCCATGCCTACTGACCCACCCCACCTCGCTTCTCTCCCCCACAGCTCCCATTCTGCTCTCGGCTGTGATAAGTCAGTCCTACTACTCTGGACCTCTGGTGTCAGCGGATCATGGAGTGTTTGTTTTTTTCTGCCTAACTTAGCACAGTGTCCCCTATGTGGTAGCATAGGACAAGATTTCTTTCTTCAAGGCTGAATAATACCACTGCAGGGATATACCACACTTTCTTCACCCTGTCTCCTAACAATGGGCAGTAATATTACTTCAAATCCACTCTAGTCCTATTACAGCTCATCAAAATCAAGTCAACCAATTCTTACTCCCAAAGGTTATATACGAGATGTTCAAACATTACACCCAGACACATTTTCTTTTATTTTCTCTGGGTCACCAGGGAGGAAGAAATCAAAACCAGTGTGTTATCTCCGACTTGGTAGGATGGTCACCAGCAAACGAACCAACCAAACCCCCAAAGCCGGGCACAACGGTTCATGATATTCCAGAACCCGAGAAAGAAGGCTGCTCGAGCCCAGGAGTCCAAGGGAAACACAAGACCCTGTCTCAAAAGGAAAGAAAAAGAGGAGGAGGAGGAGGAGGAGGAGGAAGAGAAGAAGAAAAACAGAAAGCATGAAGTAACGGCACAGTAACACATGAATGACAGTGTGGCTGCTTAGGAGAGGGAGTGAAAGGGTTTTGATTTGAGGCCAGCATCTCATCACATACAAACAAACTCCCAACACAAGACAAAGTCAGTCAGCAAGGATATGGAGAAACCCTAACGTGAACACTGTTAGTGAGAACACACATACTGTTAGTGAGAATACACAATGACGCACACTTAGTGAGAGTATACAACAACACACACACTGTTAGTGAGAATACACATGGCATCTGGTGTGCTTTAAGTGTTGTTTTTAGCCGGGCGGTGGTGGCTCACGCCTTTAATCCCAGCACTCGGGAGGCAGAGGCAGGCGGATCTCTGTGAGTTCGAGGCCAGCCTGGGCTACCAAGTGAGTTCCAGGAGAGGCGCAAAGCTACCCAGAGAAACCCTGTCTCGAAAAACCAAAAAAAAAAAAAAAAAAAAAGTGTTGTTTTTAAACAAACTAGGGATTGACCCTTGGGCCTCGCAAGCATTCTAAGCACATACTACCTTACCTAAGTCTAGTGCAGTATAAAGGCTATGAAAACTTTCCAATAAACTACCAGCAATCTTACTTTGGGGTCTCTATCGAGAAGAACTGAGCTCAGCATCTTTAGACAAGATTAGCACTCAGCTCATGTGCACTGTGGTACAACAGCGAGCTGTAGAGACGACCTAAATGCTCACTGATGGATTGATGAACAAAGTGTGGTTCATTTACAGAACAGACCATTGGCAATCTACTGTAAAAAAGGAAACCTTGGAACCAGGGAGATGGTTGGTGAGGTAATTCTGTGCAAACAGAAGGGCCTGATTTGATCCCCAGCATCCCCATTAAAAGGCAGGCACGGTGGCACAAGCTTGTAGTCCCAGTGTCGGTGAGGCAAAGGCAGGAGGGTCTCGGACCTGCTGGGCAGCCAGCCTAGTTCAACTGGTGAGCTGCAGGTCCCAGTAAAGAGACCCTGTCTCAAAAACAAGGTGGAGGCTCTCAAGGAATGATACCCAAGGTTGACCTCTGGTGTCCACAACAAACACACACACACACACACACACACACACACACACGTTTTAAGCTAGAATTTTCACCTCAAAACGACTTCCGACTTCAACACGAAAACCTTGACACAAACCCCAGCAGAAGTTCTTTTCTTTTTCCCTCCCCTGTTTCCTCTCTCTTCTCTTTGCCATGCATGTCAGGGTTTGAACCCAGGGTCTTGCACATGGTAGGCAAGCAAGCAAAGCATGCTCCACTGCAGTGCATGCCTGCCATCCAGGGTCTTCAGGTGCTTCGATCACTTGTCGGCAGCCTACAGAATGGCTTCTTTTTTCTTTTGTTTGCTTTGCACACAGACTTCATCGGCAGCCCCAGCAGAGCCAGAACTCCCTGGATAATCTGGGGCAGGTTCAAACTCATGACAGTCCTCCTGCCCTCGTCTCCAAAGTGGAGGAATTACATGCATGGGCTGCCATGACCGCCTGAATGCTTGCTTTTCAAAAGCACAAAAGACTCTAGGGTTGGAAAAGAAAGCAACTGTAATGAACTCTGATTTTTAAAAGGTGTATCTGTTTTTATGTAGATGGGCTTCCATGAGTTTGTGTGCACCACAAGCCCTTAGGGGCCAGAAGAGGGCACTGGAGCCCCTGGAGGTGGAGTCACAGGTGGTTGGGAGCTGACGCGTGGGTGCTGAGAACCGACCTGAGTACTATCCAAGAGCAGCCAGTGCTCTTGACCACTGAGCCCCATGAATTCTGATCTTTAAAATACTTAGTTCTGTAGCAAAACTTAGTGTCTTCCTAAGGAAGGACAAAAGTGGCACTACCCAATCATTATTAATTTCACAACAGTGACACACACAAATATTTCTAAGTATCTCCAACCTGTATGACATGGAAATATATGGGAAATCAGGTTGGGGGGTTCCTCAGAACCCAGTAAAAAGCTAAGTGTGGGGTTGGGGATTTAGCTCAGTGGTAGAGCGCTTGCCTACCAAGCGCAAGGCCCTGGGTTCGGTCCTCAGCTCCGGGGGGAGTGGGGGAGCTAAGTGTGATGGCACACCCCTGTAACCCCAGCACTGCGGAGGTAGCAACAAGAGGAGACCTGTGCTTCAGACCAGCCACTCTAGCACAATGTCGAGCCAACAAACGATGTCTCAAAGGAGGCAGATGGTGTCCTGAGCATGGCGCCTGAAGCTGCCCTCCAGCCGCCGCAACCCCCCCCTCCATGTGCACACATGCACAGAGAAAAGGAAAACGTCATTTCTATTAGGTACGGTTACAGACAATGTTACTATTACTGTGACCTATCATTTACTGAATGGCAGGAAATTAAATTTGTATTGGATGTTAGTAGAATAAAAACATAAAATTGCTCCCATTCAATTTCATGGATTATTTTAGTCTAGGTTCCAGGCTATTGACAGCAAAACAAGCTATTGCCATACGGCTTTCGTGAACTAAAATTTAGATTTGAAGTACACACTCACATTTACTTATTTAATGAAATTTCAAGCAAAATCTGTTAGGAGAGCTCTTACCTGAATTATTTCTGGAGCGACTTGTAAGGAGGGCAGGTATTCCTGTTGAAGATACTGAACACATTCGGGGCCCTGCAGATGAAGAGACAACCCAGTCATCTTCTTGCTGGGCGCTAATAACGCTCAAGAGGTTAGACCAACACACCTACACTTCACAGACAATACAGTATTAGGATAAGAACAGACCGCCTTGATTAGAAACCCAGGAGACACTTTGACACTGCTTCCCTTTAGCAATGTATTCCTGAGAGAACAGCTATAAAAAAAACTGAACAAATTCAATACGTAAGAGCAGCAGTGAACTTCATGTCTTGTGGTAACTTGTGTGTGAATGTCCTAGAGGCCAGAGGTTGGTGCCGGGGTCTCCATACACTGCTCTCCACCTTATTTTTCAGGCAGGGTCTCTCATTAAGTCTGGAGTGTCCGGTGGGGCTGCATCCCCACCCCAGCACTGAGGTTACAGATGTGCACGTCTGGCCATTTCGTGGGTGCTGAGGACCTAACACGGTCCCCCTGCTTGCACAGTAAGCATCTGACGGACTGAGCCGTCTTCCCTGGCCTGCACTTGATAACTTTTAAGGACTTTAGTAGGTTGATGGTTTACCTGAAAGCAAATCACTAAACAAAATCAGTGGTCCACACCTAGCATTTGGGAAGCTGAGGATCGCTCTGAGCATGAAGTCAGCCTGGCTACGGAGTAAGACTATTTCAAAACGAACCATACCTTTCCACTTTAACATCCGGATTTTTTATATTTTTCTGTTTACTATTATTAGTACTTCTCAATCACAGGATTCCTTTATCTTTCTTTCTACCTTTACTCCTGGCCCTCTATCTAAATGGGCCCAGGTCTCAACTTACTGACCCTTCGGAGGAACTGTCATCTCCGGGGAGCGAACACTACATTGGTTCTGAAAGGTTTCTCACTTCTCTTCTCACCCCCCCCCCACCCCTTTTCCAAATGTCCACATTCAAGCACAGCTTCTAAGCACCTATCCCGACTGCACTCTTCAGCTATGGCTTCTGCCCATAAGCTTACGTCTGATCTCCACCAGATCCCCCGTGGAACACCTGCTGTCCCCACACACACACCTTGCTTTGTCTGGAAAGCCAGTTCCACCAACGTATACTCGTCTTAAGGCCTATCAGACAAAGGCCCTTTTCCTATTGCCTGCTCATTGTTCAGTCAGGCAGCTTCAGTCCTAGACTTTTTAGGTTTTGTGTTTGGTTTTTTTTTTGTATTTTGAGTATCTTTTTGGTATTTTGTAACAGTTCTGGCTGTCCTGGAACTCACTTTTGTAGTCCAGGCTGGCCTCGAACCTGCCTCTGCCTCCCTAGTGCCAGGATTAAAGGCGTGCACCACCACCGCCCAACTATACTATTTTATATACCCATTAAAATACTCATTTAAATCACTATTTATTGTGATTTATTATTTGTCACATTTTTTTTTTAATTTTATCCTGGCACGATCGGACACTGGATGGCCTGGGAATTGAACCTGGTTCCCTTGGAACAGTCAGTCAGTGCTCTTAACCACTGAGCCATCTCTCTCCCTATGCAGTTTTCCCTTGATTCTGAAATATCGGGTCTTCATTTTTACACATTTTTTCACCACCCTACCTAGGGGTAGCACAAGTCTAGAGGAAATGCCGTTGGACTAAAACCTTCTTTCCGCCTTCCATCAGAAGGAAAGACTCAAGCTCAGAGAAGCAAAGACCATGGAATGGGCCACTCTGCAGCTAACTGTAGCTCAGGAAATGCTGCTCTGTGCTGGGCCACAGAAGCTGGAAATAGCAATGTTAAAAGGAAAAAGTACTTATTTTTAAATGTTGGCACCTAATTCAAGTTATCCGAAAATACCCAAAGTCACTTATGATTTATCCATGACTAGACTGACAAGAAAGGACTTGGTATTTATGAGTAATGGACGTCTCTAATCATTTAAACCTGCGACCCCTGCACGTGAGGGAGAGGCTGAGGCAGAAGGACCGCTAGCAGTTCATGCCAGGCCGGGTTACAGTGTGAAATCCTGTCTCAGCTAACAATAAAAAGTAAATCAATTTGCCAGACACAAGCCTTTAATCCCAGCACATGGGAGGCAGAGGCAGGAGAATCTCTGAGTTCAAGGGCAGTCAGGACTATTACACAGAGAAACCCTGTCTTGAAAAAGCAAATATACACAGATATATACATATGCACACATAAATCAATCAAAGGCTGGAGTAATAGCGCAGCTGGCAAAGCACTTGGGTAAACGTGAGGATGGGCTCCACCCCCAAGCCCCACCTCGGTTACAAAAGCCTGAGTGCTGAGGGACGCTTATAACCCCAGTGCTAGGGAGGCCAAACAGCGGTTCCCTGGGATGCCCTGCCAGCCTAGCCTAATAGTGACAGAAAGCATCACCTTGACCTCTGGCCGGCACAGGCACACGTGCCCCTCCCCACAGGCAGCCTCTGGCTGTACAGAAGTTGAACACGGAAATGACCCTGTGCCCCACAATGTGAAGGGCGGTAACAGTCACTGCTTTCATTCAGGCCTTTCCACACATCCACAAATCAGTACTGAAGTCACCTTCCATAAAACACAGTTTTCCAGGTGATGAGTCAGAGCCAGCTGAAAGCACAGCAGATAGGGCTAACCATGAGGGAAGGAGCAGGGAGTGTAAGGGAGGCTCACCCGTCTGAGGTGGATGGTTTTCAGCGTCACAGCACACTCGGAAAGCGCCTGTAAAATGTGAGTGTAAATGTTAACAGGGCAGTTCTCCCTTACAAAACCACACTTTCATCCCCCACCTCCAAGCTACTGCAAGGAAAACACACACAGCTTCGTGCCTGCAGGGAGTCAAGAATGGTAAAGGAAGTAGGCCACACAGAAGAAAGCAAAAGACGAACCCCTGGGGGCCGGGGGAGGGCTCAGGGGTTAGGAGCACCGGCTGCTCTTCCTGGGAACCAGGGTTTGATTCCCAGCACCCACACGGTGGTGTCTGTGACTCCAGTCCCAGGGGATCTGACTCCCGCTTCTGGCCTCTGGGGGCGCTAGGCATGCACATGGCACATAGACATCCATGGACACAAAATACCCACAGACATAAAAGAAAAAGAAAAAACTACAAACTATATGTAGTCCTAATGCAGTAGCATGGCTTTTACCCAGCCATTCGAAAAGGGAGAAAACAGCTCTCCCACATGAAGCACTCTGAAAATGAGATCTGGGACCCAGCACACAGAAAGAGAACAGCCATTCCTGCTCGTCACGGCAGGGGAAGCCGCAGAGTAGATGTCTGTGCATCATGGCACAGACATACAGCCCCACACTCTGGAGGCAGAGGCAAGAGACTGCCCACGAGTCTGAGGACAGTCTGGTGTGCAGTGAGACCCTGGCCAGCTACGGCTACACAGCATATCCTATGCCATAAACAAAGTGAGGGGAAGGGAAGGGGGAAACTGAGGAGAGAAGGGGCGAGGAGGAGAGAGTGAGGAAGAAGAGGAGGGATGCGGCTTGGCAGTAAAGCGCCTGCCAAATGTGTGACATCCTTATCTGTCCCCAGAACAGGAAAAGTAACTCGATGAATCCTACTTTGAAGTCGTTATGTCGATATAAAAACAACCCGTGAAACAATCCGCCTGTCATTAGAGAAGCGTCTAGAGATCTGCACGTGTAGACAGACTCTGAGGTGCTTACCAACACTGTCTGCGCGTCAGCCAGGTCGAAGGTCTGCTTTAGAGGAGCTAGGAAACATGCAGGGACAATGTGCTTATAAACGAAATCAGCGAATCCCACTGGTCCGTCTTTACCTCCTGTCAAGAGAATCCAAATAAATGTTCATCTTGTTTAAAAAGAGAGTCAATCAGTCCACGTAAAGGGGAAAAAAAAAAAAAAAAAAAAAAAAAAACCAATCCCCGGTTCCTGCTTCTATCTGGATCAGAGTTCCATTTCAGTTCTAACCATTTCATTTTAACAGTCCCATGAAGCAGGCTGGGGATGAAGGTCGACAGATAGTTATCAGGCTGGAGGTGTAGCTCACCGTGGGGCCACTTAATTAAGAGTATGCACGGGGGGTGGGGGGGGGAGGTCAGGATAAAACCTCAAAACAAAATAAAAACAGCAGGTTCCTCTCACCCCAGAGCTCCACCAGCTTTGAGAGGATGATGAAACACGTCTTCTGTGCAATCGGATCCGGATACTCAACGGCTCCCTGGATAACGGTCACCAGCACCCGTTCTACATTCTCCGCACCTGAGGAGAAAAACCAGACTGTAATTTCAAAAGCAAAAACACTACCTGAAGCATTCATTTCAAAATATACAGTATGTCAAAACATGCCTAGAGCGTTGATAAAATCCCTTCACTGCTTTTATTAACTAGGCACCTCAATTCTAAGGACTGAGAAGCCAGGATTCCTTTAATATCTTGCTCTGCTGATTTTGTGTGTGTGTTTTTTTTTAGGGGAGGACCTTGCCAAGTAGACCAGGCTGACCTCAAACTCACTGATGTGTAGCTGCCTTTGCCTCACCAATTTTGGAATTAAAGGCTCTATGTGATGGTCTGAATGAGAATGGACACCACATGCTCATGTATTTGAATGCTTGGTCCCCAGCTGGTGGAAGTGTTTAGGAAGGACTAGGAGGTGTGGCCTTGTTGGTGGAGGCGTGTCACTGGGCGTGGCAGGCTGCGAGGTTTCAAAAGCCCACGGTATTCTCAGTGAACTCTCTCTACCATGTGCCTAAGCTCTCACTACTGCTCCAGAGCCATGCCTGCCTGTGGTCACACCCCTGCCATGATGGTCACAGACTCACCCTCTGAAACTGTAAACAACAACAAGGTCTTTATTTGTTGTCTTAATCATGGTGTCTCACCACAGCAATGGAAAAGCAGCTGAGACACTCACCATGCCCAGCTTACCCCTCTTCCCTTGTGAGGAAAAGTCTCAAGAGTTGCCCAGACTGGCCCTGAATACTGTGCAGCCAGGAAGGCTTGGCACTTACTTGGCTGTCCTGCCTCAGCCCCCCAGATAACTGTGATTACAAGCCTTCTTCACCATGGTTGGCTGCTGTGGGATGATCTGTATGTCAAATGTGTTGCTGATTGGTCAATAAATAAATCACTGATTGGCAGTGGCCAGGCAGGAAGTGTAGGCGGGACTAACAGAGAGGAGAATTGAGAGAACAGGAAGCTGGGTGAGGGAGACACTGCCAGCCGCCATCAGGACAAGGAAGATGTAAATTACCGGTAAGCCACAAGCCACGTGGCAAGGTATAGATTAATAGAAATGGATTAATTTAAGCTGTAAGAACAGCTAGCAAGAAGCCTGCCACGGCCATACAGTTTGTAATCAATATAAGTCTCTGTGTTTACTTGGTCGGGTTTGAGTGGCTGTGGGACTGGCAGGTGAGAGAGATTTGTCCTGACTGTGGGCCAGGCAGGAAAACTCCAGCTACAGTTGGCCAGTGCTATCCTCAATTTCAAGATGGCAAACGGGCCAGTCGGACTCAACTGTCAGGCCGATTCTGGCACACGTTCACTATACTACTTACTAGCAATTAAAGAATACAGGGAAGGAGAAACTGGCTACAGATTAACTTCAAGGTGCTCTACACGCTTGTAACTCATTTCTATTCCAAAGTACTCAACACTCTTGGGGCCACCAGACCACCTCCTCACAAGTTCGCTGTTCACGTCCACTCACCGTGGAGCTCAGGGGTCCGGCTGTGACAGGGACCTAGGCGGACACATTGGTGTGCACGTGCGCGGCGTGCATCCTTACCTTGATTTGCGATCACCTCGCTCATTCCGCTGCCAGTGACGGTTTGCAGGAAGGCGAAGTAACTCCTGCGCAGCATCTGCTTCTCTAAGGCGGCCGACTGGTCGTTTTCTTCTGCTGGCCGCAGCAGCACTTCAAAAATGGCATGAAGCAGGGGCATGAACATCTGCTGTAGAAATGGGGACACCTGAATCTGGAAAGAAGAGCAGCTGTTACTGACCTCAGAAGCGATGAAGAAAAGCAACGGGGTGCTCTGGAAAGAGGGTGTTTAAAAAGCTCTTCGCTTTCTACGGAGGATATTTACAAACTTAATCAATGTATAAACATATGCACTACCCAAAGACTCAAGATTAAATTCAACACGTATGGGGCTGGAGAGATGGTTAAGAGCACTGGCCGCTCTTCTAGAGGACCTGGTTCTGCTCCCAGCACCCACATGAGGCTCTCAACCATCAGTAACTCCCATTCCAAGGAATCTGACGCCCTCTTCTGGTTTCTCCAGGCAATGCACACACATGGTGCACAGACATGCGTTCAGGCCAAACACCACACACATAAAAGTCAATCTTAGGAAGTTCAACTTGAGCTGGGCGGTGGTGGTGCACGCCTTTAAACCCAGCACTCGGGCCAGGCGGATCTCTGTGACTTCAAGGCCAGCCTGGTCTACAGAGCGAGATCCACAACAGGCAACAAAACTATACAGAGAAACCCTGTCTTGGAAAAACCTTTTGGAAGTTCAACTTGTATCTTAGAATTTTGGTTGTGGGCCAGCAAGATGGTACAGTAGGTAAAGGCGCTTACTGTGCAAGCCTGGTGACCTGAGTTCAATCCCCAGAACCCATGAAAAGACAGAAGGAGAAAACTGACTCCACAGTGCTGGACTCGGATCTCTACACACCTACACATATGCATGCACACACGCACGCACACTCTAATAAAAGTTAAAAAACAAATGAAAGAAATTGAAATGAAATAATAAGTGTTCATAATCAAAGTTGGCCAAGGAATTTTTTTAAATTTAAATTTTTAAGGGAAAAAATTCTAAGTAATGAATTTTGTAAAATAAAACTAACATGTGACTTCCATTAGTTAAGTTCCTTATCCTATCTGGGCTCCAGTTTCCTCTTCTAGAAGGCAAAATTCTTACTACTGAGGGTTATTTTGAGGAGTACAGAGCAACATCCACAAACATTCAGGGCAGACTCTGAACCTAGCAAGCCTTGTGCCATTCTCCCTAGCCAGTTCATACCTGTTTCATGCCCTGGGTTACTTCTAGCCTCTTGTCCCAGCACCCGAGTCCCACTTAGAGCTCAGCACTAGATTTACTTGCTCTTCCTGGTACTTTTCTCCCGCTACAGTGACTAACGCTTTTATTAAAGCATCTACTCAGGGGGCTGGAGAGACGGCTTAGTGATAAAGAACACTTTCAGTCCTTTTCCTAGCACACAATTCCACGCCCTGGACCTCCACTTCCAGATGATCCACCACTGTCTTCTAACCTCTTCAGGCACCAGGCATGCACACGGTGCACCTACTTACATGCAGGCAAAACACTCATACACATAAAAAAGTACTGTTTTTCAACCTAGAAACCTCCTTCGCCTTACCTGTGTGGCAGACAGCAGACTATTGGGAATGTTAGACACGCCATGACCCATGTGACCAGGCAACTCAGGGTCATTTACTAGGTAAAGGTGGGGCTGAGGGGGGGGGGGGCCTGGTCTGCAAAGAGCTTCCTGCACACACATGAGAACCTGAGTCTGAATCTCCAGACCCCGGTAATGAGAAGCTGGGCACAGTGGTGTACCCGAAGATGGGGGAGGACTGCCAGTGTCTACCCAAAAGCCGGTGTAGCTCCATCAATGAGCTCCAAGTTCAGAGAGAGACCACGGATCAAACACTAATGTGGAAGGTGATGGAGGCCGACCTCTGGCCTCCACATCTGTGAGTCACCCCACCTCCACAACACACAGTAAGGAGGACAGACCCAGAAGGTATGTGAGGATGCAGACCTAATTTTTAAGTCACAAGTCTCAGCACTGGGAGAGCTTGCGGTACCTTGAACTTGGCCGTAATCTGGTTGATGAGTGGAATGAATTCCTGGAGGTCTTTCGCTTCACAGTCTTTGAGCATGTGTTCTGAGGCAGACGGGATGAAGGGAAGCACTTCTTCCTCTAGGCAAATGATCATTCGGTGAAGGAAAGTTCGAACTCCACTTCTGAGAATGTCCTTTTGTACAGGGCAGCTGAGGGCTGGCAGGAAGGTCTGTAAACAGTCCAGATACACCTGGGAGCAGCCACACTGCTTCACAGTCTGCTTGTTGCTGAAAGCCTTGCTGGTTCGACTGCATGACCAAAACCAGACAGGCAGGGTTAGTTCATCCTTCCCAGTTTAGAGTGCACAGCAGGACGGTGCACAGCAGCAGAGTGCACAGCAGGACGATGCACACCAGCAGAGTGCACACCAGCATGATGCACACCAGCAGAGTGCACACCAGCGCGGTGCACACCAGCAGGGTGCATACCAGCGCGATGCACACCAGCAGAGTGCACAGCAGCAGAGTGCACACCAGCACGATGCACACCAGCAGAGTGCACACCAGCACGATGCACACCAGCAGAGTGCACACCAGCACGATGCACACCAGCAGAGTGCACAGCAGCAGGGTGCACAGCAGCACGGTGCACACCAGCACGATGCATACCAGCAGAGTGCACACCAGCAGGGTGCACATCAGCGCGGTGCACACCAGCACGATGCATACCAGCAGAGTGCACACCAGCAGAGTGCACACCAGCAGGGTGCACATCAGCGCGGTGCACACCAGCACGATGCACAGCAGCAGAGTGCACAGCAGCAGAGTGCACAGCAGCAGGGTGCACAGCAGCATGGTGCACACCAGCAGAGTGCACACCAGCACGGTGCACACCAGCACAGTGCACACCAGCACGACGCACAGCAGACGGCAAGCTGCCAGCACTAGACTCCCGTTCTTTCCTCCGCCAGAATCACTTCCCTCCGTAGTTAATGGTCATGTGGAAATGACTGCTTCCAGATGTCATCACAGAACACGTTAAATAAACTAAGCAAATAAGATGTAGTTAACATAATCTGAGTCTGTCTATCTGCTTCTCTAAAATCTGATAAAGTCTTCAGAAAAAAACGTACTTACTACGACTAAGCCATCGGGTAATCATACGTATCACTCACTAAATTTAGAAAACAACCCAACCCCACTCACAGCCCAGTTACTCCTGTCACCCAGGGCCTGGCTATGCGCTGAAATGCGCTGAAGTGTACAGTGTACAACTTCCCGTATAACTTACCAGCAATCACTCCAATTTTCATGCTCTTAAAAATGTAGGTAAAGAAGTAAACGGCCGCTTGGTGTCTTTGGGACACAATGTTACAGCTAAGGAGTCTCGGGACTTCTCCTGAAGGCACCAATACTAAGCCACGATGTCGCAGTATGCTGCTGGTACACAGACACCTGGGCTAACCTGAAGCACAGGACTGACTGACACTCAAGTCAGAAGCTGGAGAACTAAGACAGTCTTCATGGTAAAATACAGCCAGCAGATGACCTGCCCTCTTTGTTAGCCACAGTTTAGACAATCGGAGGAACTCAGCTCTGAAAACAGTTAAGTGTACCCATGCTACAAAGGTCCACAGCAGAGGTTCGGCCTACGTAGACACACACTTTAATTTTAACTGCAATGGGGCTCACCTGGCAAATCCAACCGCATGGTTGAGGCTGTCCGCCAGAGATGCCTGCCTTTCCTCATCCTGAGCCATCATCAGCTTCTCCAACAGAACCTTAAACCTCTCCATGAGCGGCGTCAGGAGGTCCTTCATTAGGGCCTGCTTGTGTTCCGCGGGGTAGTCGCCATTGACGATCAGGGCGCCAGCTGTTTCGTAAATGAAGAGCTGATCATCGCTGCTCAGCAAGGACTGGAGACCGTTCTCCTAGGCGGGAAGTCCGTCTTAACTGAGGGTTCACATTTAGTGCCTCTCATTTACTCAATCAAGAACAAGCACGAGAGATAGGAAATATAATCCACCACATCAGCTCATATACCGGGCATTTATAAAAAATGAAATTTCCGCCAGGCAGTGGTGGTGCACGCCTTTAATCCCAGCACTCGGGAGGCAGAGGCAGGCCAACTTCACGGCCAGCCTGGTCTACAAAGTGAGTTCTAGGACAGCCAGGGCTGTTACACAGAGGACGCCTGTCTTGAAAAACCAATATTTATAAAATAAATAAAAATAAAACAAAGACCACATGTAAATCAAACTGTACTTATAAACTATCTCAACTTCAATCCTTTTAGTTAGTGACACTGACAGAATGTTTTAGACCCTAAGTCTGAAGACAAAAACTTCAATGTTAAGTGGCCCTGGGAATGAGAAATACGATCACATTAGAGACTAATTTAAAGGCTGAATTTCTTCTCTCCTCCATGAAATATGTCGGCTGCATTTAACAGTCCAGAGAAATCAGAACATACTCCACGCGGCCGAATTCCTATTATGCTTGTCATCCAAACAATCTTGATAAAGAGATCCAAATAAACTCTGTGCACACACCTCCCCTCCCCTAGTTAGAGACAGGGTGAAGCTGGTTATGATGGCACAGGCAGTCTCGATATCCGGGGAAGACACGCAGAGGATACTTACAGGGGGAGAAAGGGCCAACAAGTCTTGGATTCTATTCAAAATCTCCTCAATGAAAGGATTCATCTGTTTACTGAATGAGATCAAAAGGAAAACCACGGGTAAGTGATGTGCTCACAAGCTGCTGAAATATAAACCCCTTTAAAAGGGAAGGAACTAGGGCTCAGTTTTATGCTAGCCAATCTGATCACTAAAATTAGCTTAAGAGCAATTTAAAAAGTCCACCTGCTCTGCAGTGATACATTACCAAGACGATGGCACTATTTATCCCCCCCCCCCGCCCCCCGTACTTATACAGATACTGTATATGATAGGTTATGTTAAAAACGTACTTTTGGGCTGGGCATCACAGGGCAAGCCTATAATCCCATACTTGGGAGGTAGACAGAGGCAATGGAATCCGTTTGCCATCTCCAGGACCAAGCAAATAAACAAAAAACATGCACCCTGGCCTAGGGAGATGGCCCAGCCATCTTGAATTAAGAATGAGAAAAAAAAAAAAAAAAAAAAAAAAAAAAAAAAAAAAAGCCGGGCGGTGGTGGTGCACGCCTTTAATCCCAGCACTCGGGAGGCAGAGCCAGGTGGATCTCTATGAGTTCGAGGCCAGCCTGGGCTACCAAGTGAGTCCCAGGAAAGGCGCAAAGCTACACAGAGAAACCCTGTCTCGAAAAACCAGAAAAAAAAAAAAAAAGAATGAAATGCATTTGCTGTGCAAACCCGAAGACTTCAATTTGACACCTCGATCCCACATGGGAAAGCTCAACTCCCACGTACTTCAAACACCCACTCAATAATAATATACAGAATCTACAAAACAATAGAGTAATACACAAACTTGCATCAAAGTACGCAAACAAGCCATCTGTTAGTGCTGAATACAGCAATAGCCAGTCAGCAGGGAAGGAAGCCAGAGCACGACCACTCAATGCTCCTGTCAGTGGGGGAGAGGCCGCTTCAACTCTCAGCTGCCTCCAAGCGCATACTTCACGACCAGCCCTGGCTGGAAGCCACACTTACTTGAGAGATTTGACAAATCTGGAGAACAGGTAAGCGGTTCTGCTCCGGACTTTAGCGCTGGAATGCCACAGACCCCTGTGATCTAAGAAAGCCATCTACAGAAAGAGACACTGATCATTTCTGGTCTGATTCAAGGATTTCACTGTCATACTGCAGTTTTTGCTCACATCAAACTGTACTTGTTGGGCAGGACCTGGCATACAGGAGGAAAGTTCCATCACACACAGGGAGGCTCTTAAGGACTTGGTTTACATAGAACTGTCACCCAGCTTTAGTCAGAGGAAAGTCACAGAGAACAATCTCATCATTGAAGCGGGAGGGAGGTGCGCACTTACTAGTACACTTGGAATGTGCTGAGGTTCAACTGTGAAGAACTTTTCATATCGAACAACAGTTTCAAAGAACTCCAGTGTCACAGACGTGTGCTGGTAGGAACTCACTCCTGACGTTACCAACTGGAAAGGGGGAAAAAATGAAGAAACCCATTTTTGTTACCTGCAACCTCCAAAGTCCCTCCGTAAAGACATCCAAGCTCTAGCGACGATGACGGCCCTGGAGCTTATGGCACGGAGTGAAGGGTGCTCAGTGTACCTACCGTTCGCATCATGTCCTGCAAAGCACTAGCTTTGGAAACGTCACCTGAGAAGTGCGCACCGTGGGACACGGGGAGAGCTTCCGCCAGCATGTACAGCAGCCTCACTGCCACCTCCACCTCCATGAAGCGTGTGGTCTGCCAGTTCCTGCCAAGGCATCAGAGTGTCTGTCTGTCTGTCTGTGAGACCTCAACATAAACTTTGTATATGACTCTCGACACTCGGGACAGTGACGCACCCACAAAATGGCTCGGCCACTGGTGAGGTGCCCACACTCCTGTAACCAACCCCAATAAAACTCACTGGTTACCAAGACAGCGGAAGAGGACCAGGGGAAGTAACAGCATGGGAGGGGAAAACGGCTGGACTACATTAAGTGCATGTATGGAAATACCATAATGAAACCCATTATTAAGTATAACTGACATGCTAATAAAAAACCATTTTTAAAAATCTCTGGAATGATTAAAAAGTCAAACTACTCTTTTTTTTGCCAAGCAATGTAATCTATACACAGAGGTAGACACAAGATAAATTACAGAAGCGACACTGTTTCCAGAGGCGTAAGGAGGATGGCCAGTCACAGCAGGAGCGGGAAGAGCTTACTCTAAGGGCAGAACTTACTGCAGTGTGGCACTGAACACCCTGCGGACAGAAGCCAGCACTAACTCTGGTGACACCTGAGCGAGCCTGTCCAGCAGCAACTTCAGCTGTTTTCTATATTCTACAAACATGGCCTCATCTTCACCCTGCGACACAAGTGGAAAGCATCAAGATGGCGCAGTGGTTAGGAGCACCTGCAGCCAGAGCCTGACAGCTGCACTCCTCACCCACAGCCCAGGGCGGGAGGAGGGAACCGACCTCACCGCCACACCCTGGCCCACCCTCACATACTGATAAATAAACGTCAGTTACCTCGCACCTTTTATCTTTGGATAGAAAAAATCACAAATCCCTTCCTGCTCACTAATTTGCTGTGGGATGTTCTGTATGGCCCTCTATAATGAGATCTGGTGCCCTCTTCTGGCCGGCAGGTGGAACATAATAAATACATAAATCTTAAAATAAAAGTCAGCTGCTGTGGGATGATCTGTATGGCAAATGTGTTGCTGATTGGTCAATAAATAAAACACTGATTGGCCATTGGCTAGGCAGGAAGTATAGGCGGGACAAGGAGGAGAATAAAGCTGGGAAGTGGAAGGCTGAGTCAGAGAGACACTGCCAGCCGCCATGATGAGAAACAGCATGTGAAGATGCCGGTAAGCCACGCGCCATGTGGCAAGGTATAGATTAATAGAAATGGATTAATTTAAGCTGTAAGAACAGTTAGCAAGAAGCCTGCCACAGCCATACAGTTTGCAACCAATATAAGTCTCTGTGTTTACTTGGTCGGGTCTGAGAGGCTGTGGGACTGGCGGGTGACAGAGATTTGTCTTGACTGTGGGCCAGGCAGGAAAACTCTAGCAACACTAATTAGAAATTCTAAAAAACACCTTAGTCATCAAAGGCCTGGGGCACACACAGCCTACAGAGCGGACAGGGCTGAGAGAACACAGCCAGTATGGGCGCACATGAGGCTTACACTTGCCTAGTGTCTTCATTCACCTTTTATTCCCCCAAAGGGCCAACAGTGTTACGATTGGGGCTGATGTGTTGGTTATTATCACCATCATCCTTTGAGAGTGCGTGCGAGTGCGCACGCACACGCATGTGCACACACACATACCCCTAAGCAAGCACCCGATGGCCCTATAGTTAGTGGGAAGTGACCCTCTCATGACCTGGACACACTTCTAAATGAACAAGTCCAGTTAAGCCTCATTCTCACCCTCCTCCATTGAGCCTCAAGCTACCACTGAGCTATATCCCAAATCCCGTAAATTATTTATTCTAGTAAGAGATTTTCTATTCATTTTACATACCAACCACAGATTCCCCTGTCCTCCCTCCTCCCGCACAAAATTTTTTTAGAAAAGAACATTCTTTTTTGTTTGTTTGAGACAGGTTCTCCCTTTGTAACCCAGGATGTAGCCCAGGCTGGCTCAACAGTTACAGCAATATTCTTGCCTAAGGCTGCCAACTGCTGGGATTTCAGGCATATGCCACCAAGCCCAGATTACAAGATTTTCTAAGTAAGTGTATGAGCATTCGAGCATGCGTGTGTGTGCAGACAAGAGGCCAATCTCAGGCATTGGCTTCAGGGGTTATTCACCTTGTGTGTGAGACAAGTTCTCCCATTGAGACCTGGGACTCAATGCCTAGGCCAAGCTGGCTGGCCAGAGTACCCCAGGGGTTCACGGTGTTTGCCTTCCCAGCTCAGGACTACAAGCACACACCAAAAAATGCAGCTGTCTACAGCCACCAAATGCAGATCCTAATTTTTATACAGCAAGCACGTTACCAACTGAGTCACCTCTCCAATCCCTTAGATAGTGAAGGATTCGGGTCTCTATGAGTGTTACTCACAACTGACATTAACATAAATTACTACATCAGTATAAACACGATTGATTTAAAACACTATTTCTTGTTTTAAAAGGCTCTGAAACTAAAAAAATATTAATTTGATACAAACAAACAATAAAATTAAAACCAGTTTTTCTTTGACGCAAAATTCCTTACTTCATTTTCAAAGTTATATTCTTCATCATAAGTCAATTTTTTCATAACAGCCAACATGATTGCCTAAAATTAATAATGAAATAACATTTGTTAATTGTTCTTTTTAATCTGGAAGTTGAGCTACATTTCAAGGTAGATTTCAGACAAAGAACTGATCAGTCTTAGAAGGGCATCTCTGTTATACACTCCAAGGCTCAGGGACTCTCCTGAAGAGGAGAAGCATGACAAGGAGTGGGGTGCTGTGTACAAATCTGAGCTACAACCATCTGTCCTGGAGGGAGGGTACCTGAGACTCAGGAAACACACAACTCACAAGCCCCTCCCTCCCAGGGCTACACACTCATGGGGGGCTGCTGGGAATGACTCCTCCACTGTGGCTTCTGGGAGTTAGCACCTGTAGCTGGGCTCTTCAATGACGCAGCTGCCTCTGCTCTGGTGACTAACCCCTCACCCACAGTCAGCTAAAGAACCCCAGTAAACTCACTGATTTGGGGGAAGAAAATCTACCCTTGGTTTCAAGAAACCACTCACCTCTATATTAGCTTTTTGCTGGTCCGAGAGCACTGGAAGCTTCGAATAAAAAGCAAACAATAATTTATTGGTTAAATGAACAATAATTTATTTTTAATGTTCTACTTGGTTACCGAAGTAGTTTTCTAAGCAATTAATATCTTCTAAAACATACACACAGGAGATGGTGGTACGATTATGGGGCAGAGCATTTTCCCAGCATGTACAAGTCCCTGGGTCCAATCTCCAGCATAAGAAAATAAAATATGCCGGGCGGTGGTGGCGCACGCCTTTTAATCCCAGCACACGGAAGGCAGAGGCAGGAGGATCTCTGTGAGTTCGAGGCCAGCCTGGTCTACAAAGTGAGTTCCAGGAAAGGCGCAAAACTACAGAGAAACCCTGTCTCGAAAAACAAAAAAAAAAAAAAAAGAAAAGAAAATATACAAATTTCTGCTGAGTAGTATGATAGCAAATCTATAGTTAATGTGTTCCTAACTTCAGATGTAGTAATTCCATGTCTAGTAAATAACTTGACACACAGGCAATAAGAAGATTGATTTAAGTTGTTTATCATGCATTTATAAAGAATTAAGCTTTACAGCAGTGAAGGATGTTTTTGTTGTTTTGAGACAGGGTCTTAGCATGTAGCTATGGTTGGCCTGGAACTCACTATAAAGACCAGGCTGGGCCGGGCGGTGGTGGCGCACGCCTTTTAATCCCAGCACTCGGGAGGCAGAGGCAGGCGGATCTCTGTGAGTTGGAGGCCAGCCTGGTCTACAAAGTGAGTTCCAGGAAAGGCGCAAAACTACACAGAGAAACCCTGTCTCGAAAAACCAAAAAAAAAAAAAAGACCAGGCTGGCCTTGAACTCACAGAGATCTGCCTCTGTCTCACCAACAGCTGAGACTAAAGGCATGCATGACCATGCTCAGCTTCTTAAAACAAAGATCACAGCTTACAAAATCCTAAAAACCCTTAAATTCTGCATGCAAAATGTCACACTTCTAAGAGTGAAGGAAGCCTGGGGCTCAGGGATGGAGAACGTCTGGCCCACTCCTGGTTCTGGGTCCAGTCTCCAGCACTGCAAACAGAACCTAACAATGACGGACGACATGGCGGGGAGAATGCGCAGCCAGTACAGAGTCTGCTGCACAAGCCTGAGGACCCTAACTCAGATCCCCACCATCTGTGCGAGCCAAGCACGGCGGCACACGTGGGGAGCAGGATGGGTGGGTGCAGACGGACTCTGGGGTTCCCTGACCAGTCAGCCGACAGCCAGTGAGCTCCAGGTTCACCAAGGGCCTGACTCAAAATGAAGGTGGAGAAATGAAGGAGGACAACCCTCTCTGACTTCTGGTCTTTACACATGCACACGCACAAGCACAGGCACACGGACAAATGCACGCGCACAGGCATGTGGACACACACACAAATGAAGAAAGCTATACCCTCTTGCAAAAGTTACTTTAAGCTTGAATGAGTCAATCAACCCAATATAAACCAGACCTGAAAATGCTGTCATGATCAGTCTACTCAGCTATCGACCCCGAGTACAACAGCATCAACTGGCCGAGCAGAACGTGCTATGGATAAACGGTGATCAACACTCTCAAACTGGGTCCGAGGCACACACACTCCAGAGGAAGGGGAGTCACTGCAGGTACTGTACCCCAGACCAAGACCGAGGCTGGGGAAGTCATGAGAGAGAGGAAGCCACGGCTGCTGTGCCCTCAAATCACCTTCTAAATAACTTAATCACCTTTGGGCTACATTTCTTAAGTTAAAAAAAAACTAAAAAAAGAAATACAGTAATTAACAGAATATACACACACACATATATAAACCAGAATTATGAGTATTTTCTTATTTTCAATTTTCAACAGCTCTTTATAAATCTACTAGACAAAAAGAACAAAACAATGACTCACCTGTTTCAAAATATGAAGATAATCGTAACAAAATCCAATAATGTTAGAGGAGATATCATCATCCTCATGAACTAGCAGCTGTAACATAAGTGGTACTTTTGTCTCGATCGCTTCAAGTGCCTCTTGTGCATTCTTGACAGCCCCATTCTTAATTAATTTAGTCCAGCTAACTATTAATGACTGTCCCATTCCATTGACCAGCTTAGAAAATCTGGCCACAAAGTCCAAGTCTTCTTCCTATGAGCAATGAGCAAAGACCACAGTTACAACCACCCACGTTGGGGAAAAGGCAGACCTCTGACCTGCAGCATGAATGCAGTGCCCATCAGGGTTCAATCTTTAAAAAATGGTTATGTAATCTGTGGCATGGAGGGTTAGTGTGGGCGTCTAGGTGCCATCCTCAGAGGTCAGTCTCCTCCACCGGGGGTTTCAGGAATGAAACTCAGGTCATAAGGATCTCAAGGTAAGAGTTTTTATCTGCTGAGCATTCTGCTGGCCCTCAGGGCTCAATGTCAAGACAGTAGCTACCAATTTCATCATTATGACAGGAAAATTATCAGAATTTGAATTCTTCTGCTACCATTATTATCCAATAGTACTCTAAGAGCAACTATGTTTTGTTTTTTAATTAAAGAACTATTTTGTATGTTTGGTGTTTCGCCTGCACATACATCTGTGCAACATGTGTGCCTGGTGCTCAGAGAGGCCAGAAGAGGGCAGTGGATCCCAGAACCGTAGTTATGGCCTCTGCCAGAGCAGCCAGTGTTCTTAACCACGCATTTCTTCATTCCTGCCAGTTATTTTCATGATGACAGTCCTGTGGATATTACCAACTTTGAAAAAAAAAAAAAAAAAAAAAAAAGGAAAAAAAGAGCTTTCATAAAAGAGACGTTTTAGAATCGTCTTCCCCAACTGTTCATGAATATTTCTATGAGGTCAACGCTGTCACACTGCATGTGTAACTGTAACAGTCCTGTCTGGAACTGTGAGATTTAGGCCTCAACTTGCCTACACAGACACAAAGCTGCTATTACAGTTGCCTGCTTCAGTCACTGCCATCGGTACAGGCAGACCCTGGTTATTTCACTAGCTATCTATAAGCTGTTCTCCCACAGACGGAGGCTCTACTTTTACTATTTTAGATTTCCTTTTCTTAAAAACCCCGGATATTAAATAAATAAGACAGTTAAAGTAACAGAACTACCTTCGGTGCATGAAGAAGGAACCCACTAAAGCCACATTACTGAAATTATCACCAATACAAAGATATCACAGGGCCAGGCAGGGCTCCACCAAGGCTGACAACCTGAGTTCTACCCTCAGACCCTCCTGGTAGGAGAGAACTGACTCTGGAGGTTGTCCTCTGAGCCCCCTCCCCATGTGCGCTGTGCTGCACGCATGTGTACACACACACACACACACACACACACACACACACACACACACACTAAAGAAATGTAATAAAGAACTCAAAGCAGTCTTAGAGACGCTTTCCCTCAGCTGCAGCTAAATCTGAAATGCCGCCCCGGGTGCAGGTGCGGCTCGGTGACAGTGCTGGCAGGAGCGGAGAGAGGGCTCAGGGCTGCGGGACCACTGTCCGCTCTTCCAGAGGACCTGCCCCCACATGGCCGCTTAGAACCACCCGCAGCTCCAGTCTCGGGAGCTCTGACCCCCTCTTTTGTGGGCACTAGGCACACAAGTGATGCACGGACAGACATGCAGACAAACACGCATACACATAAAATAAAAATGTGAAAAACTATTTTAAAATTCAAGTCTACGGTGAAAACGAAACTTATGGTTACTAGGTCTAACCTGGGTCAAACAGTCAAATGCACTATGGTGTAACTGGTGTATTATTTCCTGTCATTCAGGGCATGATCAACACTGCAAACCTGCAGAATGCATGCACCATTCTGACTGTAAAGTATCAGAATGGGTACTGCCAAGTGTGCAAGGAAAACACTACAGTTGTTAGTGGGGCCTCTCAGAACATGGTGGTTTACCATCATCAGTTCAAGGACATCCCCAAACCCAGAGGGAAACCGCGTTCAGCCTCTGTGACAGCTTCCAGAGCTCACACGTAAGAACTGCACCAACCTGGTCAATGCTGAAGAACCCAGCCGTCTGCAACACCTGACACAAGGACTGTACTAGCTTCATCTTATCCACAGGGTCCATCCCTTTATTCACAATTTCAAACAGACAGTCGCATGCTTCTTCCCGCAGAACTTCTACTGACATGTGACCTAGCAGCATATTTATAAACCTGGGGGTGGAGAAATCAAGACCGTAACATTTTCAGTTCACCGGTTTTCCACCCCGACTCTGACAAGTTCAGTTTAAACATGATCGGCATCCGCACCTATCATTGGCTATAAGGGACAAGTCTATCCAAGAGACGTAAGCCCCGACGACTTCAAGGCACTGGCACAGCACTTCTGAGTTAGTGTACTGGTAACTGTGTAAGATCTGGTACCACGACTCCACCAGACTTGGAATGCACTGTTCTCTCATTGTGTCTTTGATCAGAGTATTCCTGCGCGCCTCCTGCAAACAGAACACAAAGACAAGGGAGATTATGACAGCCAAGTGCAGCTGCACACAGTGATTTCCTCTGCACCAAACTCCAGGCTCGTTAAACAGTCCCTGCCATGGCTTCCTATTTATCTGCTCTAAAATTACATCCTGTGATTCTCTGTGTTTCCTTTTTCCGTTCTGTTCCGTGGTGCCAGACTTAATTCATTAAATACAAAGTATAAATAAGCATTGCTTAGAAATTTCAAGAATGTGAAATGATTTCTAAACAGTAGACAAAACTGATACTTAAGCTATTTAGAAAAAAACAGCTATGACTTAAATGTACAGTATCCTTTAAGTTTATGAATCTTTTAGTTACAATTGTCTTAAACTATTACATGAAAGTAAAGCTATTTCCAGTGGGGTTTTTGTCTTTTTGTTCATGAGACAGGGTTGTCAATATGTAACTCAGGATGGCCCTCCTACCCTAGTTACCCAAGTGCTAGAAACAGCCAGTTACATTTCCCACTCTTTACTAATTACTTCTATGTTGAAGGGATAGAGATCAAATCCCGGGCCTCCTGCACACTGTGCAACGTCTCTCTTAGTTCACAAGCACTTCACATTACCATAGCCTTAGGAATAAGGCTCGACTAAGGATGTCCCTCAGCTGCAAAGATTCCCTGGCAGTGATAAAACACTGTATTCAATTACTAGCACTACTTAACAACAAACCAACCAACCAACCAACCAAACAACAAAAACAAAGGCAAGAGAGATGTCTAGATGCATAAAGACCAGGATAGAGGGCTTGGGCGCCACGCCTGGCTGAGACCACGAGACCGCACGCTGACCTACACACTCATAAGCTACTGCTTTTCACTTGTTCAGAAGCATTCAGTATGGATGGCATTTCACGGAACTATGAGAAAATAAGGTGTACTTCCCTGGTGACACGGTGGCTTAGTTTTAAAAATCCAATGTAATGCTCTAATTTCAATCTTCAGTGGTGGGAGAGGTTAAATTTCATTGTCAGCAAATTCAAGATGCTAGGGACATTTGAAGTTTAAGAAGATGCGAAAGGCTGGGCTGGGTGGGGTTGGGGGCGGCAGCGAACAAACAAAAAGAAATGTAACAGACCAGACTCCCTGTCCTCACCGTATGTATGCTCACCTTCCCTACAAAGCATACGTTAAGAACCCAGTCAGTGCCAAGTGACTTGCCTCTGATGTGTGAACCACATCCCGGTCCACCAACTCTGAATCGATGGCCATGAGGATGCGCAGGTACAGATCCACTCCCCTGGGGTTCAGGTCCACGACTGAGAGAATGTCAAAGAAAAACTTGGGCCATTTGGTGAGATACTCCGTAACAAAAAGCAAGGCGAAGACCTGGGCTGCTTTATTCCGTATAAAGGTCTTCTCTGGCTGGGGATTCAGCATCTGGCAAACAGAAAAATCCACAAAATTAGAGCCAAACTATTCAAAAGCACATTATTTTTTTCTACTTATCATTAGCTGGCAAAAACTCACTCAAATTTCAATATTGCCCAGATTGGCGGCAGCACAGCAAACTGCAAATTTACCCATGAGTGCAAGGGACCGGTCACATGACGAGCAAGTGAATTAATGGCTGCCTCTTAGACTGGGAGACAGAGGCAGGTGAATCTCTGTGAGTCCCAGGCCAGCCTGGTCTACAAATTGAGTTCCAGGACAACCAGGGCTACACAGAGAAACCCTGTCTCAAAAATTTTTTTTTATTTTCCCACAGCGTTGGGCATAAATCTGTATACTACTCAAACATTCTCTCTTTCTTTTTTTGGGGGGGGGGCAGGGAGCAGGGAGCTGTTTGCCTCTTTGGAGTCAGGGTCTTCCTATGTAGCTCAGGTTGGCCTCACTCAGAGGGATCCACCTGGCTTTCTGCCTCTGTGGGATCAAAGGTTTGAGCCACCAGGCCCAGCCTAGGCCTTGTTTTTATGTGACAAGGTCTACTAACAGCTCAAGTTGGCCTTTAAAACTTGTTCAAACTCCAGGCTGGCCTCCAAATAACAATCTTCCTCCCTCTGCCTGCTGGTATTGAGACACAGGTGTGAACCAAGGGTTATTAAGCTTCATGTACAGAATTTCTTTTCTTTTTCTTTTTCTTTCTTTCTTTTTTTTTTTTTTGGCTACAAGGTTTCCCTATGTAGCACTGGCTGTCCTGGAACTCACTCTGTAGCCCAGGTGGCCGCCTGCCTCTGCCTCCTGCGTGCTGGGATTAAAGACGTGCACCACCACCGCCCGGCTAAATAAAATTACTTTTTAAAACTAAAGTTTCAGCCATGTGTGGTGGTGGGTACCTTTAATCCTGGCAGTTGGGAGGCAGAGGAAAGCGTACCAGGTCAACCAGGGCTACATAGTGAGACCCTTTCTCAAAAAAGAGAAAAGTTTTCACAATGTTATGGCAAGTAGAGCAGTTTTGGTTATTAATACAATCTTAAGTTACTGTTTCTGCCCGTGATCTTCAAGACCAGCACTTTAAATATAAAAGAGGGAACAGCTGATTGACTGAGGCACCGAATGAAATGAACGATTTTACCTGAGCTTGCAGCCACGACAGGAGTGTCCCCCTGATGAGCTGCTGCTGGGCTGTGCTGAGTTCTGAGTACCTGTTAAAGAGGGAACAGTGACTACATTTGCTGCATGCGGCGGCGGCGGCGAACGTAAATCTCATCTATCAAAAGGGAGAGTTTTGCACTGCAGGTGTCCATTAACACAGTTGTAAAGAACACACAGATGAGTGGGTCAGACAGGCTACAGTCAGTGACCTCAGATTTGTGGCTCAGTTCACGCTCAAACAAATGACAGCTATGTGATTTTTTTTTTTTTTTAAACCAACCATGCATTGAGGTCTGTGGTCTACAGAATAAGCCTGCAGACTGGCTAGCTCAGTCTAAATAAATCAAAACACATACGTAGCCCAGATATAATTTCTACCCTGGTAGTTTACTATCTGTATTTTGGTTTCCTCAAGGACGGAATAACAAATTAAAATATGCCTGTCTCAACAAATCTTTGAGATTAAAAACAATGAAAAGGCTTACTTGTATTTAACTTGATGTTCTAATACTTGGAAGCAGAAAAATTTTATGTGATCATCACTGAAAAAGAAAAAAAAAATTAGATAATCAGAGAATAACTGGAAAACAATGGCAAAATACCAGTAACAACGGTGAGGTTTCTAACACTAGGCTTTTGCCTGGCTTTCTACTTACCAATCATATCTAACTCATTTATAGTATTGTCTTTTTTGTTTTATGGCACTGGGTACCTAACTCAGGGCCTCATGAATTTCAGGCAAAGGCTTTACCCATCAGCCACAGGCCCAAGCCCTGAGTTAAACAGGTTCAAAGAGCTCTAAATACAATTCACAACACATGGCAATCCCATTACATTTAATAAGCAACATAACCACGTGTTCTAATACACACCCCAAACACAGTACTTTGTGAGTGGAGGCCATTGCCCCAAACTCTAACGTGCAGAGTCAAAGCTCTGGGAACAATTTCTGTACTTTACTTTAGAATGACCAGGAAGATCAAGATGGCAAATAGCGGGCAGCAAGAAACTGACGAAATCAGAGGTGCCGCCGTCGCCTACCTGAAACTTAACCATTATTAATTAGTCAGTCCTCTTACAGGCAAATACAAAATAAACAGGGTAGGATGGCTCAGTCCACCCTCAAAGTTCACACAAGAAACTGAACCACAAATAAACCCACCTTTGTAAGATGGGAGGGGAAAAAAATCTATTTCTAACTCCCCTAAAGGGGATACAGCCAACAATTGTTGACAAAATTCCTTTAGAGTCCAGGAATCTGCTCAGTCCAAACAGCGGTGCATGAGACAGGCTTTGTGCGGGACACTGTTTCCTATTTAAAGAGCAGTCCAAGCAGAAATGCAGACACTCTAAGATGTTCAAGAAAAAGAAACCTCAGTAAACCCAACTACGCTGCACCCACACAGGGTGCCACACAGGACTACGGGCCCAGCACTCCAGCCAGAGGGCCATCACTAAAGCCTCCTGCTCCCAGCAGCAGGCTGCTGTGTCCCGCTAGCTAACAGCTTCCCACAAGCCTCACTACGCCAGGTTGTCTTCTTTAATAAGAAACTAACTTAAATAATGACGAAATGAGCATACAAGTTTCTATTTCTACGAAACTGCGTTTGCTGCTTTAGAAAGACTACCCACAAGGCCACATTGCAGGGGAGAGCCTTTTCACATATGGTACGTGGCCTCAGGAATCAGAGGGGAAGAGCTGGAGGGAAGTATTTCGAGACCTGCTTTCACCCTTCCTGAATTCTCCTCAGAGGCCCACGCTGGGAACTGTACAAGGTAGACTATGAGCATCACCCTAAGACTGCAATGAGTACTAATGACAAGACCTTGGTCCCAACACCAATAGTGACTGAATGTTGAGATACTCCAAGTGAAGGCTTAGATTAAGATACAGATCATCATTAACGATCACCTCCTTCACCAACTTCCAACCATAAGACAATGACATATTTAGTGTAGCCTCTTCCAGTGAAGACTGGCTATCAGGCACACAATACACATAAAGAAAGGGTAGTTTGGGCTGGAGAGATGGCTCAGTGGTTAAGAGCACTGACTGCTCTTCCAGTGGACCCGAGTTCAATTCCCAGCACCCACATGGCAGCTCACAACCATCTGTAACTCCAGGACCCAACACCCTCACACAGGCATACATACAAGCAAAACCCCAACAAAATAAAAATACATTTTAAAAAGGATAGTTTGACTGAAAAATCAATTCTGGATTGGCTTAAAAAAATTGGTTTGCTATTTTTCTTTTTTCATGCTACTAACAGTTTTCAAAAGGGTAAGTCACAAAATGGTTTTATAAAAATACTTTCCAAAACAAAACTTAAAATGTTTCATGTTCATAGACATGTCAGTCCTTCCAGACAATATAGAGAATCTGTCTTAATTACCTGTATGTCTTCTGTGCGAGAGCCTCTGCACACACCTGCCAGGCATCTGGGGAAATCTTTAACTGCTCAAAATAAGCCAGGGCCTGAAAGATTGCAAAACAAAGCAACAGAGTTGATACTGAATTCTGATGCTCTACTCATACTAAACAAAGGCTGGAGTGAACCAATAATCAACAACGATTTGGGTTTAATACATCAGCTAAAACACCTAATCCAGGCTTCTGAATATGTGCAAAGTCCAGATGGTTCATTCCTAAGAATAGATCAGTGACCAGTTATCAGTTAGACACTTAAAACAGTTTCCTTCAGTAAAGGAGCTGGTGCAAGATGGCCCTGCAGACATCACTGGGTTATGAGATGACAGAGAAGAAGTGCCTAAGTGTTTTATCAAGTGCAATAATATTAAGGTATATACAACCATAGAAGGGCCTATGAAGAGTGCTCGGAGCACACGTGGCCTCCTACCACAGGTAAATGCTAAATAAAACAACACAGAGCTTTCCGGCCAACAACTAACCTAGGATGGGCAGGAGGGTAGCAGGTGAGAGGGGAGGGTGGTGGTGCACATCTTGGGAGGCAAGTACAGATGGTCTGGCTTCACAGTTGCTATCTGAAGTGGAGGGCGGTCTTGGGAGACCTGACCCGAATCCTTGGTAATGTCAAGTTTCTACAAAACCCACGACTACCACTGGGAACATTTCAAGAGCCAGGACAGTGGACAAATGCAGTCACTTATACACGCTGCTAATATTTCACTCACCATAAAGGGAGGGGGTTCATCAGCTAAGACTCTCACTAGCAGTGTTTCCTCTGAACAACAGCAAGGCCCAGGGATGCAGCTCCGGTGATGGAGTACTTGCCTGGAATAAGAGCCCTGGGCTAAATCCTAGGCACCACACACACAGGTGTGGCGGTGCTTGTCTGTTATCTAAGTACTCAAGAGGTGTGGGTGGGAGGAGCAAAGTTCAAGGGCATCCTCAGCTACACAGCAACTTTGAGGCTAGCCTGGGCTACATGAGACCCTGTCTCAGAAAAATTAAATGAAAGGTTTTAAGCCAAAGCTGGGGAAGAGGGAGGAAATAACCAGGACTCTTTCCGTTTCTGTCTCTGTTAAGATGGCGCAGCAGGAAGGAGGCGCCTGAGTTCAATTCCCGGAACCCGGGTCAAGATGGAAAGAAAAGAGCGGCTCCGTGCAAGCCCCGAGGCCCTCACTCCCCACCCACACCACACACGCCGCACACGCCCGTACACGCCTGCACGCTGGCTCATTCATTAATTTTTAAAGTGTTGAATGCTGGAACTTAAAAGTTAACAGAATCCAGGAGGCGGTGGCGCACACCTTTAACCCCAGCACTTGGGAGGCAGAGGCAGGCGGATCTGGAGGCCAGCGTGGTCTACAGAGCTAGTTCCAGAACAAACAGGGCCACAGATTAACCCTGTCTTGAAAAACACAAACAAACAAAATTAACAGAATTCAAAAAGAATATATTAAAAAATACGGATAGGAACTGGACATGGTGACTCACACCTACAATCGCACGACTCAAAAAACAAAAAAGTTGGAGGCCACCCTGGGTTACAGTGTGAGCTTCAGTCTCACACAAAGGACAAAAACAGCGAACAGGAGTGCCAGAAATGGTGGTGCACACCGAAAATCCCAGAACTTGGGAGGCCGAGGCAGGGAAATCAGAAGTGCCATGCCATCCTCAACTACATGGCTACTCCACTGCTAGCTCAGGCTACATTCTGTCTTCTGTTTCAGACAAAACAAAAATAACAGAGCTAGCAAGATGCCTCAGTGTGTGAGTTTGGATTCCTAGAGCCCACATGGTGGAGAAAGAGGAAACAGACTTTTACAAGTTGTCCTCCGAACACAAACATGTACATCATGGCAGGTTCACGATGCTCTCACCCCACCAATAAATACATGTAAAACCCTAGGCTCCCTTCCAATACCCCAGCCCAACCAGTCCAACAAACAGAGCAAAGCAGAAGAAGGGGGCCAGGGAGATTGCCCAGCAGGTCAAAAGTGCTTCCTGTGTGAGCTGAGATCCCGGAAGCCACAGCAAAGTGGGAAGAGAGAGAGATGATTCTCCACAAGGTTGTCCTCTCATCACACCGACACCTATGCCGTGGGCACACTAATAACAGAATGTCTTCAAACAAGAAAGGCTAGTATGGTGGACTGGGGCAGTACCTCCAGCAGCCTGGAAGCTGAAGCAGGTGGACGGTTGTGAGTTCAAGGTGAACCTGAGCTACATGGTGAGTACCAGGTCAGTCTAGAAAACACAGCAAGACACCGCCTCAAACAAACGGAACAAGGCTTACAAGATCGCTCGGATGAAAACCCTACACAGTGAAGGTTGGTCTCACAAACAAAACCCAAACCATTACAAAAAACTAGCGTAAAGCTCAGGAGTAGAGCCCTTGCCTAGGTTCAAATCCCAGGTAACAGCGGAAACAGAAAGTCACCGAAAAGAACTCTTAAAAATTGTGAAGAGGGCCGGGCTGTGGTGGCGCATGCCTTTAATCCCAGCACTCAGGAGGCAGAGGCAGGTGGATCTCTATGAGTTCGAGCCCAGCCTGGTCTACAGAGTAAGATCCAGGACAGCCAAATCTACACAGAGAAACTCTATCTTGAAAAAACTAGAATTGTGAAGAGGACCAAAAGCCAGAGGCTCTGAACCAGACCAACAGCTCCTTGCAATGAACAACTGCAAGTCAAGCTGCGTGGACAAAGGGGTATACTTCCTGACACACTGCAGTTCCCAATGCCAACAAGACAAACGAAGAGCTGATGGAGAGGTGGAGAAGACGGAGGAGCAAAGTGGTTTAATTAATATTTTAAAATTTTTCTTGGGGGGGGATTGCTACAAGGGTGAAGGGCAGATATGGGGGGACTGGGAAATGAGAGGGATTGGGGTACACGATGTGAAATTCCCCAAGAATCAATAAAAATTATGATTAAACAATTATGATAAGGATGCTAAAGTGTCACTCTTCACAATTGATGGTTTCTGTCAGGTGTAGGTAGGGAAGGACTAGTTTTCTTTAAGGGGCTGGCCCAGGAGTGTGAGCATGCCAGTGAGTACATGGGCAACACAAACTGGGCTTTTTTTCTTTTTGGGGGGGACCTGGGAGGAATGGGAAGTGAGTGTGCTGGGGTTCATGATTCGAAAATCCCAGATAATCAATAAAAATATTATAAAAACAAACAAACCCCACAATCACCTGACACTTATAAAACAGCCAAAAGCTTTTAATTATAATCAGCATGCAACATCAAGGTAGGATAAAGGTCAGACAATGTCTCAGCTATTTTGAAAGCAGGTGGCTTAAATGTCCATGAAAATAAAACCATTTATATACAAAAAGCCTGGACTTCTAGGTTTTTAATGTTCCAATACTGACTTCTAGATTCCTATTATTTGCCATATTTGGAGAGCTAGTTCCTTTTTTTATCAGCAGAGGCATATATCTTATCATATCATACACTACTTGGGAGGTTTTTGTTCATTTGTTTTTTTAAACCACTTTAAAAGAAATCTCTACTACTTAAAAGCAGAACGAGACTATAATGCTTAGTGAGGCTGCTGACTTTAGCTCATTTACAGCAAGTTCCCTTCTTTGCTACAAGGAGTAGGAAGAAAGAAAAACTCCCCCTTTCCTCTGATCATAAACTTCAGAACACTCACATCTTTAAAAATTAATTAAAGGCCTGTTCTTTTAGTGTCTTCTTTTATCATTCAGTTAAAGTCCTTATTAGATTTATAAGCTACACTATTAGGTTTAATTGCTTACATTTACCCGAATATACCAGCATCTCCTAATGAATTTCTTGTCACAAAATCGTTTCATGTAACTTAAGGTGTGGCATATGAAAACTGCTTATTTCCAGTCTGCAAAGACTAAACAACAAGGAGGCTAGCTGTCACCCACACACGAGCAAAGCAACTTACAGTCCAAGGCGAGCAAGGGTAAAGTAGAATATGCACTACGCTAGTGCAAAAGTTCTCTACCTTTTTAACTGGGTGACAACTTTGCAACAAAAGAAGTGACGGATGTTGCACAGGACCTGCCCTCACAGGCCGGTTGGTCGGCTTCAGTCAGTTTCCGCACTCTGGCTCAGGCAACTTAACAAAAACCAATCACAACACTTGATGTTTCAATATTCAGAACATACTCACCTCAAATCTGTCGGTCCTATTATGTTTACCAAGTCAGATGTGTTTTCGGTTTAAATCCTCCCATGTACATTTGTGATAGCATGCTTTTAAAAACGACTAAATCGATGGACTTACCCTTTGTCTAAAGTCTGAATCAGCATTTGGATTTAGCCCTAAAAGAGCCTGTTCATCCATGTCTGCTGTTATTCCTGGAGTTTTCCGATCACAACAGACGTGGCTTCTAATCCCACAGAAGAATCCACACTCATCTGCACACAGAAAACAAAAGACGATTATCTGGAATATAAGAAGTGGCTGAAAAGACACAGCTCTGTAGAGGCAAAGTCCACGCTGAGGTCAAGGGAGCCCATGTCTCACCAGAACAGAGTGGACCCTGTGGCGCACACCAGTGTCTAGTTTTGCACAGTTTAAACAAGGATGCCATTAAGGCTCTCAGGTGGTACTGTCCTGCAAAGCTCGCCAGCCAAGTACGGAAAGTAACTCTTGTAGAAGGATGCATGCAGCGTTGGGACTCGTCTGCAGCATAATGTGTGCCTGGGGAGAATAATATCTATATGCCCTTGGTTTAGTGCGGTAAGAATTTCCCTGCTCTCAGATATGACCATAAAACATCTTTTAAAGCCATTAGAATGGGTCCGGCACCCACTTAGAATGGCTCACCTCAGGGTTTAATACCCTTACTGGAGGTCTACCAGTAGGGCATGAGAAGTAAAGAGGAAGGGCTAGAGTGAAGAACCAGTCATTTAGTGTTGGAACAATGAGCTAATTCTGCCTTTTACAGGTCTCTGCTCTTGCCAGCCAATTCTAGAAATGTATTTCATAAATGACTTCCCTCCCTCAGAACTCCCCCATCCCACACCAGCTTTCCTCTCCCCGACATCCCCGGAAAGCAATCTACTTCACAATACAGAGTCTAACATTCTCACACCAGAACATGGTACGCTCCCAAAGGCAGCTAGTTCTTCCATACACAACATGCTTTTCTGCATACACATGGAACAAACTCCAGACAGTGTGAACGCTGTTCTCAGGGGAGGAGAGTTTGCTAGTAAAGGGCTTCCTGCACCTGACTCCCCAGCACCCACGGAAAAGCTAGGTGTGGCAGAACTGGGGAGGTGGGGAGAAAACACTTGGCAGACTCTCAAAGCTTTCTGGACAGCTCCTCTAGCCAAACTGGTGAGCTCCAGGTTCAGGAAGACCCTGTCTCAAAAAAAAAAAGGGTGTACAAGGTGGGAGACAGGAGAGTAAACAGAATGCATTACGTACCTATATGAAATTGCCAAAAAACAAGTTCAACAGTGAAAATCAGCGGAGGAAAATCAATGGAAGCAATATAGACCTCTGGCTTCTAACTGCACACATATGAGCACACACAGACACACCAAACACACATGACATTTTCTGGAACACAGTGAAGTTAAGGAAATTAGGCCTTACATTCCTATTACAAAGCTATAAAGCTTCTTTATTTATCTACTTTTAATTATTAGAACTCAAGTGAACTTAAAGACACCAAGAGACAAACGGAGGTCCTATGCAGCCTTTTAGGAACGGTAAGGCCCGGGCCAGGATGCAGGATCCCTATACTTTCCTGTTTTCTGTGGTCCTTTTGGAATCAAAATCAGAATATAAGCTGAGAGCCTTGGGAATAAAGGCCAGCCTCTTCTCTCACCACTCACAGCAAACCTGCAGACCACAGCAAGGCAACTTAAATCCCTGACTGCCCACGGGACTAAGATCCAAACACTTCTAAACAGCCAACCCCTACCATTCCGCACGGTACTCAGCAAGGCCAGCAACACCCTATTTACACAGCCGCTCTCAAGTGGCATTCTACTCGACTTTGTGCGCATGGCTCTTTTCAGCTATGTGGGCAAACCCTGCGAGGCCTTCCAATGTCAGTTGACAAATCACCTCATGCAATAATCCGGCTCTGACCTCTGCTGTCTGACCCGACCAGGCTGGACTAGGTACCCCTTCCAAGCTCCGCCAGCCAGTTTTCCCTCACTAACCGTCAAGAACAAGGACTGTGAAATATGCATCACTACGTTCCTGGGAGTTAAAAAGGCAGGTTTGGGCCGGGCGGTGGTGGCGCATACCTTTAATCCCAGCACTCGGGAGGCAGAGCCAGGCGGATCTCTGTGAGTTCGAGGCCAGCCTGGACTACCAAGTGAGTTCCAGGAAAGGCGCAAAGCTACACAGAGAAACCCTGTCTCGAAAAACCAAAAAAAAAAAAAAAAAAAAAAAAAAGGCAGGTTTGGGGTTTTAAAAGTTCTGGGTTTGGAAGCTGGGAGATGGCTCGGGGTAAAGGCTCTTGATTCCCTAGAGTCACAATGGTAAAAGAGAGAACTGACTGCTCTGTGTGTCCACACACACACACACACACACACACACACACACACACACACACACACACGTATATATGTGTATATGTAAGATAAATACATACGTGTAATTCTTTATGTCCAAGATTTATATTCCAATCTTGTCATTAAAAAAACAAAAAGCAGCTGGGGCAGTGGTGGCTCATGTCTTTAGTGCCAGCACTGGGGAGGCAGAGGCAGGAGGATCTCTGGGAGTTCAGCCTGGTCTACAGAAAGTTTCAGGACAGCCAACCTGAGAAACTGCCTTGAAAAACCAAAAAAACAGACAAAACAAAACAAAACCCAGTCATTAGTCAAGGTAGCACACATCTTTTAAACTCATTGCTCTAGGAGGTAGAGGCAGAGGATCTGTGACTTCAAAGCCAGCCTGGTATATCTACATACAGATTATCCGGCTAGCCAGAGCTAGAGTGAGATTTTGTCTCAAAAAGAAAACAATAATTGAGGCTACAGAGACAACAAAAGTATGCATTCCTTTCTACCAGAGGAAAAGAGGCAAAGTCCTCAAGACTACAGTGTAGGCAGAGCATGCCTCTAATAGCTAGCTTATAAGTTTAGAGGTAGGCACACAGGATGAACTATCTGAAGCATTCTTAAACTAGAATGGTATTTTGAACAGATGGGAAAGCAAAATGGTTCCACCAGGAAAAGTAAAGTAGTATTCCTCTTATAAATGCTCAGAGAGAAAAGTCAGTTTAAGAATTTCTGTAAACTCCTGATTGAGAAACCTCCAAAAACTTCATTTCCATCCTCCACTTCTTTGAGAAAAACTGCTTTAAGTTTTGCCATTTCACTCTAATCTTGACAAGGAAAAAAAAAAAAAGGCCCCACGGAAACACATGATCGACAAAAAAGCTCTAAGCCAACTTGTTACAGTTGTCCATAGGGAAGGAATCCCTCACCAACACTCGCCATCTACACACTTGGAGAAAGCACTAGGGTGATCAACATAAAATGTTCACTTATCTGTGAATAAGACATTGAAAAGCTACAGCTAATGTTAAAAAGGTAACAACTTCTTAATAAAGACTGGACGCTGATCCACAGAGCCTGGCAGGCTTAAACATTGTTACAGTATGGTAAACATTTTATACACCCTGCAAAGGTGGGTGAAACGGGGGGTGTATAAAATGTTCATCATACTGTAACACAAGAAATATACTTTAAACTATGAAGCCGTAATTCTTCCTTAGCCATCAGGTCAAAAATCGAACAACGTGGAAAATTCCTCCACACCTACTTAAGCCCGTTTGAGACTGACTTAATCTTTCCAGCCTTTTTAAACAGTCAAGTTGACAAGTCGCTTTAATACAACGTAACTTCCCCCAGCAACAACTAATGAAGGCTTTCCAAAAGTACTCGTTTTTCAGGTTACAGGGGAAACATCACGCTTCTCCACCACTGCTGCAAGGCTGTAAAGAAGCAAGGACGGGGAGAGAAGGGCTGTCGCTGCTGGCAAATTACTACGCAGAAAGATCACTCCCCCCCCCCCCCTCCTATGGGTCCCGGGGTGGGGAGCCTATCAACTTGAGGTCTCTACGGTTGAAATTGGTGGGACGCACTCCAAAACTATCACAAATGGGGTTGGGGGGTGGGGGGTGGGGAGGGAGCCTCCGAGGCCGGCCTCGCCCCCTATCCTTCGCCCCGATCCCTCCCTGGGCGAAGCCTCGTGGCCACTCGGGTGATGAAACACCCGGCAACCGGCAGCCACGCAGTCGGGACGTGGTCGCCGCCGCCACCGCCACCGCTCGTCCGTCCTCCCCCAAGCCCAACCAAGCCCGGCTCGCCCGGCTCGCCCGGCCCCCCCCGCAAGGGTCCCCGGCCCGCCACCCCCAGCCTCCTCCAGTCACCATCACTCCTCCAGTCTCTCTTCCTCGCCGGCACTCCCGAGGGCCGGCCGGCCGCCGGGAGCGGCGCCGCACGCAGGGAGGACGGCGAGCGGTCCTCGTCCCTTGTCGTCGCCGCCGCCGCCGCCGCCGTAGTCCTCCGCTGCAAGCCGCCGCAGCGCTATAGCGCCCGAGCTGGCCCGGGCCGCGCTCGCCTCGGCGCTCGGCGTCGTCCCCGGGTCGCCTGCTCCTCTGCGTGGCGCGGAGCGGAGCGGAGCGGGGCGGGCAGGTTGGCTAAAGCCGGCGGGCGGGGTCGGCGGCCTCGGAAGAAGGAAAACTGCGCAAGGGCCCGCTACCAACGCCGCCGCCGCCGCCGCCGCCGCCGCCGCCGCCGCCGCTGAGTCAGCGCGAGGCACGCCCCCCGCGTCGTGCCGCGCGGGCCAGCGCCAGCAGCAGCCCCAGCAGCCCCAGCAGCAGCAGCAGCTTCATGGGAAGAGTGCAAGACCGGCCCGCCCGCGGGCTGGGCCTTCCCGCCGCCGCCGCCACCGCCGCCCCCCCCACGGGGGACTACAACTCCCAGCGTGCAGCGCGCGCGCGCAAGCGACGCTCCTCCTCCCAGGCGGCGGGCCGCACACACGTGCTCCCTGGAGCTCGCAGGGGGGGTGGGGTTTGGGTGGGGGCGTGGTCGGCGGGGCTCGCGGTGCGTGTCGGGAGAGCGCATCCGGTCCTCCTCCTCCTCCTCCTCCTCCTCCTGCTCCTCCTCCTCGCCGCCGGTTCCTGATGCGCTCTAGGCTTTTAAAGGACCGGCCACGTTGGGCCCTGCCTGAGGGCAAGCGGCTTGAAGTAGCATCCACGTCTTCCAGAAAGGACTGGTCAGGCGGTGGATGGCTTAGAGTACTGATGAGCTCCTGCGATTGGAACGCGTGGATGGGAAGGTTTAGACCACGTGTTGTGTCACATGTTGAATGCCTTTCCGGGGTCCCACGTGTCAAGCAAGAGACCAGAAGCTTGAGGATCTGGGGAGTGCTGACAGCTTTTTAAAATTCGCTGCGTTTTTACTTACTTGGTTTGCTTTTCGATGCAGGATCACACTCCAAAGCCCAGGCTGGTCACTTTTTTTTTTAAACCTAACCCAGTCTGGCCTAAACTCTAGCAGTCCCAAGTCCTCGGAATTACAGGCATGGGCATGCCCAGTTTAGATGTTACTAATTTTGCCCACGAAGAGAAAAGCATTCCGAGTGATGGTGGCGCACGGCTTTAATCCCAGCAACCGGGAGGCAGAGGCAGGCGGATCTCTGTGAGTTAGAAGCCAGCCTGGGCTACAGAGTCAGTTCCAGGACAGCCAGGACTACACAAGAGGAACCTTGTCTCGAAAACCAAAACAACAAAAAACAAAATGTTCATAACAAGCCTAGCCAGGCGGTGGTGGCACGCGCCTTTAATCCCAGCACTCGGGAGGCAGAGGCAAGGCGGATCTCTGAGTTTGAGGCCAGCCTGGTCTACAGAGCGAGTTCCAGGACAGCCAGGGCTGTTACACAGAGAGACCCTTTAAGGCGCACCCCTCTCTAAAGAAAGATATTAATCCCAGAGGAAACAACACAGTGAATTCAACATTTAGATTTTATTTTGTTTTTTAGAGACAGGGTCTCACTATGTAGATCTGGCTGTCCTGGAACTCACTCTGTAGCCCAGGCTAGCCTGGAACTCAAGAGATCGCCTGCCTCTGCCTCCCAAGCGCTGAGATTAAAGGTGTGTGCCACCACACCTAGCTCAACATTTAGATTAAATACCTGATTGTTCAGGACATACGGAATACAGGCTGGATGCAGTCAGAGACTCTCATGAAGAACGAACAGGCCTGGCCTGTTCTGCAAGCCTGTGATCCAAGCTGCTTGGGAAGCTGGGGCAGGAGGATCTCGAATTCAAGGCCAGCCAGGGCAAAATAGCTATACTGTATCTTAAAAGGTACATCCACCACCTTTAACTTCAATCCCTAGCACAGCGGTTCTCAACCTGTGAGTCTCGACCAATGTGGGGAGGGGGTTGAATGACTCTTTTCACAGGGGTCACCTAAGACCATTGGAAGACACATACTACATTATGACTCATAAAAGTAGCAAAATTACAGTTATGAAGTAGCAATGAAAATAACTGCATGGTTGACATCAGCACATGAGGAGCTGTATTAAAGGGTCACAGCGATAGCAAGGTTGAGCACTACAAAATAGAGCTAACAAAACTTGGGAGTGGAGTGAGGAGGGGAATGGAAGAAGCAGAGTAAAATTGGTGCAACCATTTAACAGCTACATTTATTTATCAATGTCACTAAAATTCTTTTCCAGGGGGAGTCTTAAGCAAAGCCTACTGCCTCTTCTTAAGGGGGTGGTGGTGGATGGCTCACACCTTTAATCCCAGCATTTGGGAGGTAGAGCATGTTTTATACACCGGACACACTTCTAAGTGTTTATACATTCATGAATCCTCAACCACTGTATGGAGGTAGGTACTGTTATTTTATTTTTAAGTTACTTTATTTTTATTTGTATGTATGTATTGCATGTAGGAGCCTGAGGAGGCCAGAAGAGGGCGAGGGATCCTTTTGAGCTGAAGGTCCAGGCAGTTGGGAGCAACCTGTTAGGGTGCTGGAACCAAACTTGGGTCCCCTGGAAGAGCAATAAGTACTCAAGTACACCTCTCCAGCTCTATTCCTGATTTTGTAGATGAAGACGTTCATAATAGAGGTTGAATAACAGATACGTGCTTCAAATTATAGCCCGCTCTTAGGAGTTCATCAGCCCTTGGCTCTCGTGCGGGTCCATTTTGTCAGGAGGTATTAAAGAACTGTACTATTGTAAACATGCTCAGAGGTCTTGTTCTTACAACAGTGAAACTTTTTTTTTTTTTTTTAACTGTACCACATCTTCCCATCCATTTTGTTTATAGAGACCGGGTTATAGCTGGGTACCGCAGGCTAGCCCCTCCTGTCTCAGCTGGGATTACCATGCTCTGCCCCTGCCTCCCTCTTCTTTCAGTTGCAGGAGTACTTGAAAGGATACAGTCACCCCTTCACTGTCTTTTCTTACGTGTTCCTCTTTAGTCACGTGTTCCTCTTTAGAAGAGCTAGAATCACCGGCACCGTTACATTCACAGATGAAGAAACCCGCTCTAAAGTCCTTGCTCAGAAAAAGTAAACAGGAACTTGATAGTCTGGCCTCTTGATTCAGAATTTCTTTTCTTTTTCTTTCTTTTTTTTTTTTCCGAGACAGGGTTTCTCTGTGTAGCTTTGTGCCTTTCCTGGAACTCACTTGGTAGCCCAGGCTGGCCTCGAACTCACAGAGATCCGCCTGGCTCTGCCTCCCGAGTGCTGGGATTAAAGGCGTGCGCCACCACCGCCCGGCGATTCAGAATTTCTTGACTCTAGCAAACCCTGTTTGACCCCCCAGCTTTACTTTTGTAGTGACTTCTCCCCAGTCACTCTACAGAAGTGCATCAGTGTCACCAACTGGGTTAGTCAGGGTTCTCTGAAGGAGCAGAGGTGACAGGGTGAATATACATTATTACATAGAAAGCGTAGGTATACATACATGTATATATACAGGTAGACATAAAGGGGACTTACAGGCTGTGGTCCAGCTCGTCCATCGATGGCTGTCTTCAACAGAAAGGCCAAGAATCAGTAGCTGGATGTCTCAGCAGTCCCGACCTGGTGCTGGAGTACCTGGGAATTCCTAGAGAGCTGCTGGTCTTCCGTGGGTTCTATGATCGTAGAAGGAATGTCTCAGCCACAGGATACGTTAGCTCACTGGCAAGACTAGGGCAAGCAGGCGGAAAAGCGAACGCCTCCTTCTTCCAAGTCCTTTTATGAGGGGCTGCCACCAAAAGGTGTGGCCCAGATTTTGGGTGGGTCTTCCCAACCTCAGAGGATCCAATCAGGAAAATCCCCCCCCACCCCCACCACCAAGGCTGCTTGGGTTTTAGTTGATTTCAGATCAGCCCAGTTGACAACCAGATTAGTATCACACCAACTCAAAATGGCCTGTTTTCTTAGTTTATATGTTTCTTTCAACTACTCTATCGACTATTTCTTTCACCCTTGAAAGTCTCTTTACTCATTATTTCTGGCACCGTGATTTTAGGTTCCTTTGCCTTCTTTGACTACTGCACTCTGTTTTCTTCAGACACACTCCTAATTCATTTGATTTTCTTTTGTGTATGTGTGCCCCTTCAGTAGTTACCCATTTCCATACTTCCACATTTGATGCTTGGCTGGTTCCTACAGTTAGTTCTATGCTTTTTGGTTTTTTGTGAGGCGACCTCTCACTTGGTAGTACAGGCTGTCCTAGGACTCTCTGTGTAGCCTTTGTGGGGAGGCCCTGCACCCATGTGACCTCCTTCCCTTCTTCTGTGTCCCAAGTCCTAGGATTACGGGCCTTAGCCACCATGCCACACACTGGTTCTGTGGGATACTTCTAAATGTTCTGCACCCACAATTAACCATCCATGCCTCCCAAATGCGGATGTTAGAACTCCTTGTGGTGGTATTGGATTTGATGGGGCTTTGGGAAGGTAGTTAGAGCGTAAGGGTGAAGCTCCCTCATGATACACAAAAGCTGGATTTCCTCCCACCACTGGAGCTTAGGAGAAAACTGTTCTGAGCTGGATTTTAGGCGGTGGTGGCACATGCCTTTTCTCTCAGCACTCCAGAGGCAGAGGCAGGGGGATCTCTGTGAGTCCAAAGCCAGCCTAGTCTACAGAATGAGTTCTGGGACAGTCAGGGCTACACAGAGAAACCCTGTCTTGAAAAACCGAAAAAGACAAAGCTTCAGAATGCCGTTCCCCAGTGACACTGGATCTGATAATACCTTCATCTTGGACTTGCAGACTCTTCGGGATATGTTTGTTATTTAACCCTCTCAGTCCACAGCAGTGTGTGATGGCAGCCCACAATGACTAAGGCAGTGTCTCATTCTTCATACAATGTATCTTCATGTAGTGCTGGTTGGTAATTGTTTATCTCTGTGAACGTCTCAACACATCACAGTGCCCTTACAGTCATTCTTTTTGTGGGGACTAACAACTTTTTTTCTTCTTTGATACAGGGCTTCATTCACAGACAGGGAAACTGAGGTGGGCTGGAATTTACAGTGTTATGCTCATAAACTTCTGTGCTTTCAAGTTATCAATCAAGTAACCCTGGAGGGAGGCCCACCACTCTATTTTGATGGTAGTCAGTGACTGTGCCTTTTGAGGTTAGCCCCACACAGGTAACGCCCCATTCTTCTGGTAGAAATGTTTATCAAATGCTGGATGGCTCAGAATCTGTACCAAACGTGTCTTGAGTTTGGATGGGCTTAGAAGATAAGAAGTAAGTGCTTATCGCGGTATTTGGGTTAGCTACCCATGGAAAGATTAGAAGAACATAGGGGAACGTGAACACTTCCGTGTCCGTGGTGCTCTCTGGTCCTCACTTCCGCTCCTTGACAGGCAGAGTAGGTGTCAGCAGGTGCATTTCTCATGTGATGGAACTCAGGCTCCGCAAGGTTAAGTCATTTTTTTTCCCCCTAAAAATCTCACAGATCGTGAGCAACAGGGTTAGTAATTAGATTAGTAATCTAATCCAATCCTCCTGGCTCCAGATCAGTAAGCTTTCCTTGGTGGTTAACCCCATCCCTGCAGGCTGAATTTTGCTGTTTCCCTGGCAACCAGGTAGAACACTGAGTACCTGGAAACCATGACATTGTCTTCTCTGTGAGTCGCCAGGCTTAAATGAGGTCATCACCAGTCCCATTTTTTTGTGTGCTTCCTTTTAAGGTTTGTGAGGTTCGTGTCTTGGTCACCAAAAGCTGATTGATTCCTCATGGTTTTTTTTGGCACATACAGCAAGTGCACTGCCATTCTGGTCATGGTCCAGCCATCCTGTTTGTCTTGGTCCTGGGAAGTGGGCATAAAACAAGAACCCCGGAGACAGAACAGTGGTCTGAAGGGAGGCTTTTCCCCTTGGTCTTCAGTTTCCACCTCTTTTGTTAGTCATTTGCCACCGAGCTGCTGTTGTGGGGGTAACTATCAGGCACAGGTGAAGAAGGTGTGCCTTTCTATTGGCTTCAAGTGGCAGACAGCCATTATCAATGGGTCTGTAACCCATGGCTGTCCATAGGAGTCAGGTCAACTCTAGGGACACTCGGGTGCTCAGGCCATTTGAGATTCTGCCAGCAGGTGGCACTTGTTCCCTACTCTTACCAAATACAGTCTGTTTACTTATTACTGCTTTGTTTAACTAGGCTTAAGCACTTCTCCTTCCCTATTGTAGTGGGCTAGCCCACGATATCTGGTTATACATTGCAATACATTTCTACTCCTCTCCCTCCGTGGATTTGAAATGGTTTACATATTCAGTATATAATAGTAAAATATGAAAGGAAGGGGACTGTCACGGTGAGGAACATCCGATTTTATTAAGGTCTGTTTGTAGACAGGGATAATATGGTTTTCATTGTGTCTTTCCCGTATATTTATTTTTGGGACAGGGTCTTGCTGTGCACTCCTGAACCCACTAGATCAACAAAGACAGACCTCCAGCTTATGGCCTTATCAGGCCTCAGTCTCTGGAATGCTTGGCCTGCAGTATGGGCCACCCGGCTCCATCCTCGGGTCTTCGGATGAACGGGAAGGAGGGGAGAGATGGCTTTTCTAGGATCTGAAATAAAGACGGAAGTGCACACCTATGGCAAGTTTCTGTTCTGCTTCTCTTCTCGCTAACCTAATGTACTGCGCTCTTCCCGACCGGCTCTTCATCTCTAGGGCTACATAATCCACATCCTTGGTCCCATCAGCTTCAATTTCCAGAGGGCCCTTCAACCGTGCATTCATTTTCCGTATGGTTCTCGGGAACACAGGTGCATGGCTTTGATGGGCCTGCGTTATCGGAGCAATCTGTGGGTCCCTTTGAGACAGAGTCCAGCTTCTGAGACAAAGTTGGAAAGGCAGTGTTATGGTCATTTCTAGGCAGTGTACTGGTCAAATGTGAAATCTGTCATTACAGGATTCTCAAATCGGTAAAACTCCATGCTTCAGGTTTCTCTGTAACAGGAAATGGGATTAAAACTGGCCTCTATTATCAATGGAGTTTGTATGGGACCATGTAGCTCAGTAGCTGGACGGGGTTGGGGGGTGAGAGGGGGGACTAACTATTCCTTCCCTTGAGTGGTTCTCGCTTGTCAATCAACCCTTCGAGAGAGACCTTGGTCTTGCCCCGCCCATCGCCGTGTAGGGTGCGGACAAAGATCAGGGGCGGGATCGGGCGGGGCAGGGGGCTCGGAAACCAGACGGCGGAGCGGGTTCCCCGAGCCCCGGGGTCGGCTCCCTGCGTCCCGGCGCGGTGGTGGCGGAGGCGGCTGGCGCTCGGCTTTGTGGCGCGCGCGGGTTCCACCGGGTGTCGTGGAGGCGCAGGCACCGGGGGCACTCTGCCTGGCCGCGGGTGCCGCATGGCATGGCCAGCCCCGCGCGGTCCGGCTTCCCGGCGCGCACGAACAGCCGTCTGGACGCGTTCCTGCGGCGGCACCTGCCGCCCGAGGTCTACGACGCCGTCCGCGCCTACGAGCCGTGCATCGTGGTGTCCGACGCCGAGAAGCACACGTTCAGGTACGTGGTGCTTAGCGACCGGCTCATCTACCTGACGGAGAACCCGCCCAAGTCCATCCGGAGGGTCGTGGCTCTGCGGGACGTCGTGGCCATTGACCTGGTGAGGATCGCGGGCGGGCAGGCTCCTTCCCGGGCTCTCGCATCCCTCCTCCTGCACCAGAGAAAGGAGGAACACCTTCCCCGTCCCGCCCACCACTTCCCCACCTCTTATTGTCAGTGAATGCAGCTGCGCGGGAAAGCTGGTGATGGAGGTAGAATTTCAAATAACGATGTCCCCCCACTTTCCCATCCTGTCCACACCCTGCTTCCCCCGTTGGGCAACAGATCTGACAACTGATCCCTCTATAGAAACACGCCCTCACGCCAGCCTCTTGTTCATTAATCACCCAGTCTGTGCAGTGCGTGTGGGAGGGACCGCAGCTCACACCCGCGCAAACAAATGCGGCCAGTTTAGTGCTGCCGGGCCTTGTTTACTTTCTAGCCGCTCAGGGTTAGTTAACGTGTGACTGGTCCAGAATAAGTGAGGGAAGGAAGGAATTTTCGTGATGTGCAGAGGATGCTTGCTCCGGTCAGGCTGCCACTTGATCCAAACTGGATGGGGAAGCTTCCTGGAAGGAGTGTCCTCAGAGCCGAGTCTCCGGAGATACAATCTGGCTGAGCTTGCCCTAGTTTCTAGTGTTGCCACTGTATCCCTGTCCTCTGGGAGGAGGCTGACTGTAAGAACCAGCAGCCGATTGGAGGCCCATCTCCCCCATCCACCCCCCCCACCCCGTTTCCCCTCCCGCTCCTGGTCTCTAGTCTGCTCTGCTTTCCAGGTGTTTCTTCCTTCTCCACTGGGACAGGTGTCTCGCCTCCTTTTACTCTCGCTTGCTCAGTCTGTGGCCCCGAGGGAGAAGTTGGCGACGCTCCTGATGGAGCTGTTTTGCCTAGCGAATCGTAACGGTTTCAACATATTTCTAAGAAAATAATGAAATTAGATGAAGTGGGTGTTTTTTGTTTTTTGAAGTTCAGATTTCCCTTATCAGCTGTGGTCACATTTGTTTCTTTAAAACTTTTATTTAATACTCTTTTATCTTGTGTGCACATGTGTATGTTTGTGAGTGTGTGTGTCACGGCGAGAATATAGAGGTCAGGGGACAGCTAGTGGAAGTCAGTTCTCTCATCTTGTGGGTCCTGGGCTCGAACTCAGGTGTTCAGTCTTGGCATTAAGCGCCCTTAGCTGTTGAGCTACCTTATCAGCTCTATCTTCTTCTCCTTCTCCTTCTCCTTCTTCTTCTTCTCCTCCTCCTCCTCCTTCTTCTTCCTCTCTCCCCCTCCTCCTCCCCCTTCTTCTTCTCCTCCTCCTCCTCCTCCTTCTCCTTCTTCCTCCTCCTCCTCCTCCTCCCCCCTCCTCTTCTTCTTCTTTGAGTAAAAGAAACAAATCTTTGCCATTATTTCCAGTTTTTTGAGCTAATTTAAAATTTTAAATTGCCTTTACATTTTTTATGGAACAGCCCAGCCAGAATGCAGAAGAATATTAATGCATGATGACTAAGTTCAATCTCCCATTTTGCAAGCAAGATGAAACAACTCCCCAAAGTAAACAACCAAACCTCCCAGAAGAAAATGTAACATGTGTATGTGGGCTGCACGGATCTCAGATTTCAACAGTTAGTAGGGTCATTCATTGTCCCTCTTGAGTATTGTGGGTTAGCGTTGGAAACTGTGAAAGCAATTCCTCCCCGAAGATAATCACAGTCCAAATCTGTAACTATGGTTATAGCACATGACAAGGGAACTGAGACTGCCACTCATCTGACTTTAAAACAGGAGTCTGAACCGGGCTTGGTGACCCATGCCTGTAACTCCAGCATTCCAGAGATAGAGGCAGGAGGATCATGAGTTTGGGGCTAGCCTGGAGTACAGAACAAGACCTTGTTGAAAAAGTAGATAAACAGGGGCTGGAGAGATGAGTGCTTACTGCTCTTCCAGAGGACCGGAGTCAGTTCCCAACACCCGCATCCCACAGTCCACAACCTCCTGTAACTCCGGCTCCAGGGTATCCGAAGCACTGTACATATATATGCATACCCTTCCTCTCACATATACACATAATTGAATCCTTTTTTTTAAAAATAAATGAATAAAATTAGATCAATAAGTAGTATCCTGGCAGGCCCAATGTAAGTGAAAGAGGGAGAGGCAGCCTGAGGAAGACCCGACCCGCCATTGTTAGTTTCAGAGGAAGAAGGGGTTGGGAGCGTGGGGAAGGAGGACAGCATGGAGAAGCTGAAAACATCAAGGAGACAGACTTCCCTAGGGGGCCTCTCGAAGGCGTACAGTCCTGCCAGTGCCTTGCTGTGAGCTCGTGCTTGTCTCTATTGCTGGGGACCAAATGCAGTCCTTCCTTGTGCAGCCCAGGCAAGTGCTCTTCCACTGAGCTCCACTGACTGATCCCCACAAGGCTGGGGCTCCTGACTGGACGTCTCACCTCCAGAACTGCAAGGAAGTAGATTTGTGTTGCTAAACACCAGCCTGTCTGTGGCAATGTGTTATATCGGCCATACACACCATAGGCAACCGATTAAGCAGTGTATTCCTTATGGCACTTCAAGTGAGTGAGCTGTTAAGATTCTTCTTCTTGAGAAATAACCCAGATTTTATAAGATAGTTCTCCAATTATTATGGTCTAGAAACTTGCACTAGATGCCATAGGTTTCCCCTCTAAAATTTATTTTGGTTTTTCAAGACAGCGTTTCTTTGTGTAGTCCTGACTGTCCTGGAACTCGATCTGTAGACCAGGCTGGCCTCGAACTCGCAGAGATCCGCCTGCCTCTCTGCCTCCTGAGTGCTGGGATTGAAGGCCTACATCACTACCGCCTGGCAATGTATTTTATTTTTAATTATTCTTATGTCTGCACATGAGAGCAGGTGATTGTGGAGTCCAGAGACTTTGGATCCTGCTGGAGTTACGGGTGGTTTCGAGCTGCCCGGCGTGGGCCCTGGGAACTGAGTGTGGTTTCCTGCAAGAGCAGGCTGTGCTCTTAACCTCTGAGTCAGTTTTCTAGCTCCTGACTCCATAGGTTGAATGAAAAATGCCCATCACAGAATTGCTTTACCTGATACCAATGTGCCTGGCTAATATAAAATGTATAGAATTTTCTCAATTTTTTTTTTTTTTTTAAAAAAGAAAAGGTCTCACTGATTTGTCCTGGCCAGCCTGGAACTTGCTATGTAGGGCTTGCTATTGTAGGCTGGCAGTCAGTTCCAGAGGTCTGCCTGCCGCTGTCTCCCACGGGCAGAGGCATGCACCACCACACCATGTTCGAGTTTTCCAGGTTTTAAAAATTTAACATTTTTATTAGTTCTTTGAGAATTTCATAGTCCTTAACTTCTTGTAATATGCGCAGTCACCCTCTGAGTCATGTCAAGGCAGTCACACTGTGACATAAAGTCACTGCCAAGCAGCTTGAGAACCAGCCCTTCTCTCCCGAAAGCTAAAGTGGTCCCCTCTCTCCTCGCTCCGGGGCCACTTTTTCTGCGTCCTTACTGTTGTCCCCAGACTTCTCACCTTACTCTACAAGCTTGTCTTCTGGTTATTTAATGTCTGCTTGTCTTGGGTTCCCTGTGTGCCTTTGTCCTTCTGTCACAGGGACATCTGTAATTCCCAGAGCAAGCTACCCTCATGCTTCTGGGCCCCAGCTCTCCCTGTTCGCTGTGTGGCTGGACGCTTTCTGTGAATTTTTTTTTTAGTTTCTCAAGACAGGGTTTCTCTATGTATCTGCCATGGCTGTCCTGGATCTCGCTCTGTAGACCAGGCTGGCCTCGAACTCACAGAGATCCGCCTGCCTCTGCCTCCCGAGAGCTGGGATTAAAGGCGTGCACCACCACTGCCCAGCATTTTCTATGAATCTAAGGTGTAGTTATACTTCAGGGAAAACCAAAAACAAAAAACAACCAGCCAACCAAACAACAACCCTGCAAGCAGGTAGATGAAATCCCATTTTCTCTTCTAAAGAAGAGGAAAAAAAAAAAAAAAAGATGGAGGCAGCAGCTACAAAATGTTAGATCAGAAATCTGCACATGTTTTGGAGAGGGTGAAATTTCTCTTTTAGAAAAAAAAAACAGTTTAAATGCACTTAAGGTCTTTACAGGTATTTGGTATGGCTTATTTCAAAGTTTCCTGGAAAGTTTGGGCAAGCCTGTCTAAAGTGCTGATTAAAAGCTATTTGTTTTGTTTTGTTTTGTTTTGAGACAGGGTTTCTTTGTGTAACAGTACTGACTGACCTGGAACTCACTTTGTAGACCAGGCTGGCCTTGAACTCACTGAGTTCTGCCTGCCTCTGCCTCCCAAGTGCTGGGATTAAAGACGTGCGCCACCATCGTCCAGCAACAGCTACTTTTGAAGGCATTCTCTAGAGTTCTGTGTTGTACAGACTATGCAATTTGTTAAAATATCTCTAAGGCTAGACACATTATTTTTCTTTATGTTTTATTTTTATTTATTGGTGGGGGTCCCCAGGAGGCCAGAAGAGGATGTCAGAATCCCTGGAGCTGGGGTTATAGGAAGTTGCCATCTTTCAGTGTGGGTGCTGGGAATCAAACTTGATTTTTCCATAAGAGCCTCAGGTATTCTTAAGCACTGAACCATCCTTTTAGCCCCTAGATAATTTTAAAAATATTTAAATACCAAAAATATTGCCGGGCAGTGGTGGTGCACGCCTTTAATCCCAGCACTCGGGAGGCAGAGCCAGGCGGATCTCTGTGAGTTCGAGGCCAGCCTGGACTACCAAGTGAGTTCCAGGAAAGGCGCAAAGCTACACAGAGAAACCCTGTCTCGAAAAACCAAAAAAAAAAAAAAAAAAAAAAAAAATTTAAATACCAAAAATATTACTTAATGAAAATAAATACCTGTGTGTGTGCTCACATGCTGTGGAATAATACTCTTGGACACTGTAAGGATTTTGTTACTCTAATTGGTTTAATAAAACACTAGTTGGCCCGTAGCCAGGCAGGAAGTATAGGTGGATGGCCAAACTAAGGATGATGGGAAGGAGAAGGGCGGAGTCAGGAGTCACCAGCCAGAGGCAGAGGGTGAACATGCCATGCTAATAAAGGTACCGTCATGTGGCAAAGCTAAATAGAAATATAGATTAACTTAAAATGTAAGAGCTAGTTAGTAACAAGCCTGAGCTATTGGCTGAGCATTTATAATTAATATAAGCCTCTGTGTGGTAATTTGGGAAGCAGCTGCTAGGTATTTGGGAATAGGCAGTCGGGACAGGAAAACATCCATCTGTGTGTGCGCGTGCTGAGTGCATGGACCTGTGTGTGCACAGGGAGGCCAGAAGGATGCATCGGATGTCTTCCTGTATCACTTCCTGTCTGCTCCTCTGAGGTATGGTCCCTTCTAGAACTTGGAGCTCATGTCTCAGCAACCTCTGGAGACCCTCCTGTGTGTGGCACATTTTTTAAAATGACAAATAAAGCCACAGAGATCTATAACTCCCCCACGAATTCATTCTTCTTCAAAGCTAGCGAGGAAAATTCTGCCGACCTCAGCAGCCCTTGCCCCTCCTCCCTTTCGGCCTTTCACTCTTGCCCCATGACTCTGTGCCCTGCAGTGGTCCCGGGCTCCAGCAATGAGAATAAAGGATGACGGCACGTACGTATGAAACCGCCACGATGAAACCCAGTATTTTATATACTAACTAACAAAATAATTAAAAAAACAAAAAAAACTAACATGCGTATCAGTTCAAAAAGACTGGGGCTAAAAGTGGGACTGGAGAGATGGTTCAGTGGCTGAGCGCACTGGCTGCTCTTGCAGAGAACCTGAGTTTCGTTTTCAGTATCCATGTGCTCCCAACTACCCTGTAACTCCAGCTTCAGGGAATTCTATGCACCTTTCTGACCTCTGCTGGCACCTGCCCTTATGTGCTCACACATACACACACACACACACACACACACACACACACACACACACACACGTACACACACTCACAGATACAAACACATACCCACAGATACCTCCACACAGACACAGACACACATCCACAAATACCTACAGACACCCACAGATACGCACACACAAACACACACCCGCAGACACCCCCCCACACACAGAGAGACACAGATACACACACATATACACCTTAAAAACAACAGTGGAGATGCACACACACACATACCCACCCCCCACACCCCACACACACACACGCACAAAGTGAAGATGCACACAGACAGACAGACACACCCACACAAGCACACACACATACCCCTCCACACACACATACCCCACACACACACACACACACACAAAGTGGAGATGCACACAGCAGACAGACAGACACACCCACACGAGCACACACACATTAAAAACCATGAAGAGGAGAGGGATGTGTTTTAACAAAACACCATTGCTATTTATTGAATAATCTTGTAGTATAAATGGTTTCTCGGATAATCCTATAGTGTAAATGGCCTCTGTGGCCTGTTGTGTTTTTCGTAGGAACCAGAATAAATAGAGGAAGAATTGAGAACAAGAAGAGAAAACGTGTCCCGGTGCAGAATTGTGAAAACAACTCACATTAAACTTGCCCTTAGTGTGGGGAATTTATTTCCCCCAAATAAGAAGGTGTTGTGTTCAATGAGATCAATTTTTTTTTCAGATTGACGATTACCCAGAATTTTTGAATTCTCCAGATAGAGAAATCAACCAGCACATTCGTATTGTCTACTCTTCAACGGTCTTGAAAAAAGAGTGTGGAAAACCCAGAGGTGTGGGGAAATTCCTGTTTCCACTTCACCACAGCAATGTGAACCAAAAAGGTATGTAGTCCATGACATAAGAAAAAAAATCAGGGCTAGAGAGATGGCTCAGTGGTTAAGAGCACTGTCTGTTCTTCCAGAGGACCTGAGTTCAATTCCCAGCAACCACATGGTGACTCACAACCATCTGTAATGAGATCTGACGCCCTCTTCTGGCCTGCAGTCATACATGCTGTATACATAATAAATCTTACCAAAAAAAAAAGAAAAAGAAAAAAAAATCAGCTGCCTTTTTTTTCTTTTTTGAGACAAAGCTTCTCTACCTTTTGACACCCACAGAATTTAAAAGTATAGCGGGTAAAGAGAAGGCTCATGAACTTGGGTCTAGACTATCCACTGGCCATCCTTTGAGTCTTGGGCCTCCCACCAGGAAGGGATGGTCATTTAACATAAGTCAAGCTCCTGTTTAAAAAAAGTACAAAAACAAAAGAGAGAAATTGCTGCTCGTGTGTCCCCAGCAGTAGTTACAGAGGTAAAACAAGTTGTGTTAGAACCTTTTTTTCGAGACAGACTTTCTCTGTGTAGTTTTGGCGCCTGTCCTGGATTTTGCTCTGTAGACCAGGCTGGCCTCGAACTCACAGATATCTGCCTGGCTCTGCCTCCCGAGTGCTGGGATTAAAGGCATGAGCCACCACCACCTGGCTTTGTTAGAGCTTTACTAAACAGAGACTTAGTATCTAGGACAGAGATTAACTCTGTCTGTGGTATGGACAAGGGGGATTTATAACCAAGAATCAGGATGGGATCATTGGATAGAAAACTATTAAGAAGAAGCATCCAAGTCATGGGCATTCAGCCAATTTGACCAGTCAGGGGCGGTCAGCTAATTTGACCAATCAGGATTCTTGCTGAAGGCAGGCTGGGGCGGTCAGACATTACCTGGGGAAATATGGAAGATAGGGAATCAAATCAGATACACAGAATGACCAAAGATAGAAGATGAAGGATTCTGGGATTCTTAGTTTTGAGATAGTTTTTGCTGTATAGCTCAGGTTTGTGGTTGAGAGTACTTGCTGTTCTTACAGAGGACCAGGGTTCGGTTCCCAGCACCCACAGGTGGCTTGCAGCCATCCATAACTCTGGTTCCAAGGGATCCATTGCCCTCCTCTGACCTCCATGGGCATCAGACAGAGAGGTGGTGCATATACATACATGCAGGCAAAACACTCATGCACATTAAGTAAGTAAGTAAATAAATAATAAAAATGATTGCATCCTTAGCACAGGAGGAGACACTGGAAAAGGAGGTCTGAGGTGACCCGTGGATAAGCCCTCCTTTGAGCACCCAAGTAGAGCAACCTATTCACTGTCCATAGACTCCACTCCGAGTCAGCAGGAGAGCCTTCCAGAGTGTCGGGCGGCTACACAGTGGAAGGAAGTCGGATGATGTTTTTCCCTTTAATGGACCAGCCGCTCTGCGCACGGATAGCTACAGCATGGAGACTGTTTGTCCCAGGCATAATTAGCAGGGTAATGAAACCCCTGGTGGCTCACCAGGTCTCTTGTCACACTAATTAGGGTATCGAACTGGTGTTGCTTGCCTTAAACGCATATTCCACCTGCCTATAAGCACTGTTTTCTTGGCTCTTTTTCAGTATGGGTAGGAATGTGAAAACATATTGAAAGAACACGATGAAGTGGGGTGAAGTTCAGTGAAACTGAAGTGCCTGGAAACTTGGCAGACGATATTAAACAGTGAAGAAATGATGTTGTGTACTTGTGCGTGGCTAATCACAGAGTCCCTCTGTCATCTCTTCTTTACTTTTGCCCCCGAAGATATTATCTGACACATTTTTCGGCAAGCTGGCCTCTGCCTCCTGAGTGCTGGGATTAGAGGCATGAGCCACCATCACTCCTGGCCCCATCTGACATTTTTGTGCAGATGTCCTTTGAAACATCATCCTACCACCACAAGAAGAGATGATACACATTAAAAGATAAAAACCATTTATCAGGCTAACATGGATGTTCTCTGCATTTTCTGTTGTCCTGTACACTGTCTGCTTCGGGTATTCCTATATTGTAGGACCCCATGGTTCACCTCCTGTAGGACTCTGTGGTTCACCTCTTAGATGCTGTTATGTGGTCCTCTCTAAACAGCTGTGTGAAAACAGTCATTACCAAAGTCTTTCATGTTAAGGATGATGTCATTCATGCCAAGAGAAGCAGCAAGCATTAACTACTGAGAAGTTAAAGATAATCATTAGGACTGACGCCAACCTCTTGGGGGAAAGCCCGGGGAGTATTTTTATCATATGGCAAAGGTGTCCACTCTCCAGTCACCTTGATTATCTGAACAAAGGAAACTCCAAGTACAGATAATCTGTAGTAAAAATTTTCGGTTTAAATCATTACTCATGGTTGTTAGGCCCAGCTTTTTCTGGGGGTACAGAGAAAAAGCAGTTTTGCCTTACGAGCATGCCTGTGTCCCTGTGTGGACCACAGTCAGCATTTGGAATTTTCTGTGTTTAGACTCAGAGTGGTTATTAAACTTGGCATGTCAGCTTTCCTTTACTGACCCAGTTCATCTGAGATGAAGGAACTCTAAGGCAAGGCTTAGTTTGGTGCACGCTCTCTGTCCAGGGCCAGCTGATCCTCGTGTTTTGGGCCTTGGCATGGCGGCCTGGGGTGAAAGGGATCATGGTAGAGCAAGTTCAGGCCTGTCCAGAAGGGTAGAGAAAGGTAGGAAGGGGTTCAGGTCCCGGTATCCCCTTCATGGGCACGCTCTCATTTATTTCTTCCCAGTCCCCACCTTGTGAGAATTCTACCACCTTCCAGCAGTGATGCGGGCTTGGGCGTCAGCCCTTGGGAGACAGTGCAGCCCAAACTATAGCAAACTCCGCAGGAACAAATCCTCTGGTAACAGAGATGATGAACCCTTCCGAAGTTCTGGAACAGACTGGACCAAGGATTACTTAGTTTCGGGTACATTCTAGAGCAGCATCAGCAGCAAAACTTACTGCAGTCATGGACATACTTTACATAGAGTTGAACTATGTCTGACACTGCCATATTTGGCTATCAAAGGTGAAGACTATTGAGTAACTGAATTTTGATTAGGGTTTAAACAGCTCCATGTGACTAGTGGTTCCCTGACATAGCTCTAGAACCACAGAGGGCATCACGGAGACTTCAAATAAAAAAACAAAACAAAACAAAACAAAACAAAAAAAAACCAGACTCACCCCCAAAGCAGGGTGAAATATAATTTAATGAAATGGAGCAGAATGAAGTGTGGTGGCTCATGCCTGTGGTCCCAGCACCTGGGAGGTGGAGGCAGGAGGATCAGGAAGTAAAGGTAACCCTTATCTGCATAGTGAGTCTGAGGCAGGCCTCAGCAACCTGAAGCTCTGTCTCAAAAAAAGAAAAGCATGGGCTGGAGAGGTGGCTCAGCAGGTAAGAGCACTGACTGTCCTTCCAGAGGACCCAGGTTCAATTCCCAGCACCCACATGGCAGCTCACAACTGTCTGTGACTCCAGTTCTAGAGGATCTGACACCTTCACACCAATGCATATAAAATGAAAGCTAATTCAATTATTTAAAAAGAAAGAAAAAACCCAAAAGCAAGCAACAAAACAATACAAAAACGAAAAGAAAAAAAAAAGAAAAATCCACATCCAGTGTGGTAGCACATGCCTCTAACCCAGCACTTGGGAGACAGGCAGGGCAATCATTGCAAGTTCCAGGCCATCCTGGTCTACATAGCAAGTTCCAGGCCAGCCTGGACTACATAGTTAAACAAGAACAAAAGAAAGAGAAATGGAACCAAAAATTTATATGCGTCTATATTTGTACACACACACACACACACACACACACACACACACACACACACATGCTCGCGCTCACACACACGTGTATGCAAGCTAAAACCTGGGACATTTCCTAAAGCTCGTGATATGGGAAAGATCTAAAATGGGAACCAGGCTATGCGGACTCTCCCAGGTTTGATGGGAAGTTTTTACGTCAGCTTGAACGGCTTCACAGGAAGAGGATTTTTTTTTTCAGTATGATAAATCTCTTGCAACAGAGAAAGCACATTTGCCGTCCTGTGGTCCGCCCTGCTTTCTGTGAAAATATGGCAGAGCACTTAAGGGGAAGGACTCATTTGTCTTACAGTCCCAGGCTACGGTCCATCACTGGGAAAGCGAGGGCAGGAACTGGAAGCCGGGAGCCACACCCACAGGCAAAGGGCAGAGAGAAGGTGCATGCACGCATGCCCATGTTCAAATTAACTTTTCCTCTTTTAAGTCCAGGACCCAGACCCAGGGCATGATGCCACCCACAGTGGGAGCGTCTTCCCACGTCAGTTAACGTATCGAGACAATTTCCTGCAGACATTCTCACAGGCCACCCTGAGACTTCTTTTCCAGGTGATTCTGTGTCCAGTTGACAGTCAAAACTAGCCATGAGAGAGTCTCTTCTAAAAAGTGTCTTTAGTGTGTTTGTGTGTGTGTGTGTGTGTGTGTGTGTGTGTGTGTGTGTGTGTGTGTTGGGACTTCTTTGTACAAGTCTGTGTGTGTGGTATATGTACATGTTTCTGTGGGCGTATGCATGTGTATACATACATGTTGAGGCCAGAGATCTATATCCAGTGTTGTGGAATATTATTTTAACTAGGCAAAGATGTGTTACATTTTTTTTTCTTTTCTTTTTCGAGACAGGGTTTCTCTGTGTAGCTTTGGAGCCTGTCCTGAGTCTCACTCTGTAGACCAGGCTGGCCTCGAACTCACAAAGATTAGCCTGGTTCTGCCTCCCGAGTGCTGGGATTAAAGGTGTGCGCCACCACTGTCCAGCTATGTGTTACATTTGTTCATGCTGCAGAATATTACTTTAATTGTGTAAAGATGTGTTACTTTTGTTTATGCTGCATTTGTTTAACAATGTAAGGATGTGTGTTTGATGATGTAAAGATGTGTTGCATCTGTTTCACCTTGCCTGCCTAAGGCACCTGATTGGTTTAATAAAGAGCTTGGTTTAATAAAAAAAAAAATTAGCTAGGGAGAGGAGAGATGGGCGGGGCTGGCAGGCAGAGAGAATAAATAGGAGGAGAAATCTAGGCTTGAGAAGAAAAGAGGAACGAGAAAAGAAGAATGAGAGAAGAAGGAAGAGGAGAGGATGGCGGAGATGCCTGGGGCAAGAAGCCAGGCAGACACCAGCCAGCCAGCCACTGAGAAGCAGTGAAAGTAAGATATACTGAAGGAAGAAAGGTACTAAGCCCCTAGGCAAAATGCAAAAGAGAAACAGGTTAATTAATTAATTTTTATCTATTTATTTATTTTTGTTTTTCAAGACAGGGTTTCTCTGTGTAGTTTTGGTGCCTGTTCTGGATCTCGCTCTGTAAACCTCGAACTCACTGAGATTCACCTGGCTCTGCCTCCCGAGTGCTGGGATTAAACATGTGCGCCACCACTGCCCAGCTAGAAACAGGTTAATTTAAATTAAAAGAGAAATGTGCCTAAGCTAGGTCGAGCATTCAAAAGTAATAATAACTCGCTGTGTCATGATTTGGGAGGTGGTTGGTGCCCTAAAAGAAAACGCCTGGTATGTATTGGGTGTCTTCTTGGTTTCTCTCCACCTTGTTTTTTGAGACAGTGCCTCTCACTGGACCTGGAGTTCACCGATTCAGCTAAGCTGGCTAGCCGATGAGTTCCAGGGATCCTCCCCACAACCCCCATCCCGGTGCTGGGGTCACAGACACATGCCACACCCCAAACTCTTACATGGGTGCTGGGGATTTTGATCTCAGGTTCTTGTGTGGCAGGCCCTTTGCTGACTGAGCCGTCTCCCAGCCCCCTGAAGAACGTTTTCAGCTGGGTGGGACTACGAACATCCCATGCAAAATCCACTGGGCTAGCTGACCGAAGACTTGGCCCCTAAGCCATTTGCCCTGCAGAGGATTTGTCTGTCGATCTTGCCTTTACCCACAGACTTGGGTCCCTGATGTCTAGATCAGGCGTTCCACCAACCACAGAAGCAGACCGACTTCTACCTCACTTCCGGGTAGAGAGTGCAGTCTCCTGTCCCTGTTACAAACGAAGACTTCGAGCCAACAGGCAGTGACAGCGGCACTGGGGTTGTGTCAACCTTGAATGACATTGGGTCCTCATGAACTCAAATTGTTGAATTAATGACCATTCCTTTTTTTTGTTTGTTTGTTTTTAAGTCAAGCAAGAGAATAATGGACCTACCTTTTGGAGAAGAAAAGACCCCAGGAGTCGGAACAAATCCTTTCTCAGGTGAGATTAACTTGCTGATCAAAACTGACATGGCAGTATACTTTAAAAAAATACATACATATATATATATGTGTGTGTGTGTGTGTGTGTGTATATATAGTATGTGTGGTGTGTGTGCATGTGTGTGAATGTGAGCATGCAACTGCACGCATGCAAGTTTGTGCGCGTATGCAAGTGCATGCATGAGAGAGTGTGTGTGCATGAGTGTGTGCATGCGTGAGAGTGCATGCCAGTGCATGCGTGTACATGCTAGTGTGTGCACGGAATACACCACAGTGTGCACGTGGGAGGCCAGAGGGTACCTTGCAAGAGTAGGCTCTCACCTACATTTCTTTTTTTTTTTTTTTGGTTTTTCGAGACAGGGTTTCTCAGTGTAGTTTTGGTGCCTGTCCTGGATCTTGCTTTGTAGACCAGGCTGGCCTCGAACTCACAGAGATCTGCCTGCCTCTTCCTCCCAAGTGCTGGGATTAAAGGCGTGTGCCACCACCCTGCTCTCCTACATTTCTTGGTTGCTAGTTGGTTAAATTTAGGTCCTTTGCCTTGTTGGTTGTTACCTTCCCCTGCTGAGCCATCTCACTGGCCCTCAATTAAAAAAAAAATACATTTTTCTCCTACTTGCTCTAGGTTCATTTTGTGTATCTCATATATACGGCAATGAAGAAAAATATCTTGAGAAGACTTTCCCAAATTAAAATCTAGTTAGTTAAAATAGCACAATATGATATTTTTCATTATCATGGAATATATAGACATCACAATGTCACTTTAATAGATTAAAGTTGAATTAAAAATAAGTATTGACCTTGAACTCTGTGTAGAGCAAAATGTTAGGACTTGTAATATTTCTTGTGGTTTTGCTTTTTCTTTTTGAGTCAGGGTCTCATACAGCCAAGGCTGGCCTCTAACTCGCTATGGAACTAGGGATGGCCTTGAACCCCTGATTCCCTTGTCTTGACCTCACTAGCGTGTGGATTGCAGGCCCCAGCTACCACACCTTTTTTTTTTTTAAGATTTATTTATTTATTTATTTATTTATTTATTATGGATACAGCATTCTGCCTACATGTATGCTTGCAGGCCAGAAGAGGGTACCAGATCTCATTATGGATGGTTGTGAGCCACCATGTGGTTGCTGGGAATTGAACTCAGGACCTCTGAAAGAACAGCCAGTGCTCTTAACCACTGAGCCATCTCTCCAGCCCTACCACACCTTTTTAATAAATGTCGTGATGCTGGGAATCAAACCCTGGGCTTTGTGGATCTGAAGCAAGTACTCTTCCAAGTGGCCTCCATCCTGAGCCCCGAGCCCTATAACGGATCCAAAGGCAAGTGAGGCATAGTTCTTGCCCTTGAGAAGTCTAACCAGGTTTCATCACGTCTGCCTGGAAGTTAATGCAGTAGTAAATATGTGACGTGCTCCAGATGAGGCGATGCAACTTGTCTAAGAGATTTAAAGAGGGGAAAAATTACACTGAGCTGTGGGGAAAGGTCAGGATTCCAGGTGACAGTTGGTAATGGGATAGTTCCTCAGGAGATAGGGCCGTCAAGGAGAGTGGATGTGAGGACCGGGGCAGATAATACATGGAATGTGAATTAGGCTCTGGTGACTCATCCGGATTGTCAACTTGACCCATCAGGGAAGAGACCTCAACTCAAGAACTTCCTTCATCAGATGGGCCTGTGGGCATGTCTGTGGGGGCAATTTCTTGGTTGCTAGTTGGTGCAGGAAGGCCACTCCACTGTGGGGGGTGCCGTCCCCAGGCAGGTGGTGGGCAGGCCTGGGCTGTGTAGGAAAGCGAGCTTCCTACACAGATGAATGGATGAGGTTGTTCAGTAAGCAACATTCCTCCATGGTTTCTGTTTCAGGCTCCTGCCCACAATTCCCAGCGAAGGGCTTGTTCCCTTCAAGTGTGAACCAAATGAGCCCTTTCCTCCCCTTAGTCACTCGTGGTCATAGTATTTATCACAGCAGTAGAAAAGAAAACTAATCCAGGGTATCAGCAAGCAGTCCTGCGTGGCCTCAAAATAGAACATGATGGTAAAATTGGGCTCATAGTTTGGAAGGCCTTTTTTTTATTTGTTTTTTTGATTTGTGTGTGTGTGTGTGTGTGTTTTCATGGAGGCTAGAAGAGGTTATGAGATACTGACTCCATTGAACATGAAGGAAATGTCAGTGTGCATTTTAAAAAGATACTCTCTTTTCATAACTTGAAGTATAATACTATCACACAATGGGGTGTCTAGATCAGAAAAAAGGGGAGTGCTGAATTCTAAGAGCTTCCCATGCAGAGATAGATGGGCACAAGGAGAATTTGTGTGGTAGGAAATTCACATTAACACGCAGTGACCTCCTGCCTGGGGAGTGTTGGAAGCCTGTGGTCTGCAGGGCAGGTTCTTTCTCATTTCATTTTCCGTCCTGGGTTGAACCACAGGCTCTCCAAGTGTTCTTCTGTTTTAGGTAGGGTTGCTATTGCAGTAATGAAACACCATGACCTAAAAAAAAAACAACTTAGTGCCTTAGTCAATATTCTGTTGCTGTGAAGAGACATCATTGGCCACCACAACTCTGATCAAGGGAAGCATTTAACTGGGGCTGGCTTACAGTTGAAGAGATTTAGTCCATTATCGTCATGGCGGGAAGCATGGTGGCATGCAGGCAGACATGTGCTGGAGAAGGAGCTGAGAGTTCTACCTCCGGATCTGTAGGCAGCAAGAAGAGATGTTATAGGGTACCTAAAGAGAAAAACTCTGGAAAGGCCTGAGTAAGTCAAATGGAGTCTTTTCTATCCACCGGTGAGTAGGACTCTCTCAGGCAGATGAAGCTGCAGATGAAGCAGTTGGTTTGAATTTTTAAGAGCAAAACCCCACAATTTTGAGTATACAAGAGGCAAGCATTGGTTATGGAAGTGGAAAGATTACAGTTAAATGGCCAGGCAGTTCACCTTTAGCTCAGGGTCCCACTGGATGGAAATTTAGGGCTGGTCCAGAGACCAACTTGCCCACGATGGTTTTAGCACTTAAAGTATTCTTAGAAATATTTTCGTGAGGTGGTATAATGGTAAGGGAGGTCCTCCCCAGGACACAGTCAGACATCAAAGGGGTGTGCACAAAGGAGATTTAGTACCTTAGAGGAGCAAGTTGGGGTGGGGGTGGGGCTGCAGAGGTGGACAGCAGGCAAGCAGGAAAAGCTGGGTTTTTAAGGAGAAAAAGGGGCAGTCTGTCTAAGGTGAGTTAGTAAGTTCTGGTAGGATGTATTAGCTAAATAATGACCCTCTGATCGTTGGACCCTGGTGTTTTGTCTCAGTAATGAGTCACTGGCCAAGCAGGGAATGGACCTTGGTGGCTAGCTCTGGGGATGTAATCTAATGAAACCCTGTCTCCAAAAAAAAAAAAAAAAAAGGAATTTATTGAAATAACAGGAGGTGACTTGTGCAATTCAACACTCACACAAAAGGTAGGAATGTAGAGAGACAGGGATAGCGTTCTCTCATCTGTTGATCTAGTCAAACATGTCCTAGTTATTGGCTTTCGTGTTCACTCTTGGGTGAGCAATGCTGAGCAAAATCAGCCGGGGTTAGAATTGAACCCTAGTGATTCAGGAAAGGAGAGAAGAAAACCAGGGGTTGGGGGTTGGTACAGGGGGCTCTGGGTGTGTGGGGCACAGTACTCTGCTCTGATGTTCCCTGGTCAGCCTCATTTTTCTCTCACTGGATCCTGTATCCTTCATAGGGCAGCGACGTTTGAAACGCACATTTTCCAGCCCCCACTAGTGGACATAAGCCTATTCCCATTTTGCATTAAAATTTGCAAATCCCAGGGAGGGTTTGTGACTATCCCACTGGGATAGCTGGCTGAGATCTACACAGCATAGTCCGGGGACCAGAGGCTCTGAAAACACGACAGCTTGCGTGTGCCACATGTGGAATCGGGCAGTCTCTAAATAAAGGGCGTGGGGACAAAGTTGTCTATTTTCTGAGTGTGCTCTAGTAGTGTCATCTCCGTAATTAAACATCAGGATCAGAGACAAAAGGCAGGCTGGATGAAAACACTAATTAGAAGGACGGAGGATGCACACAGGTACAGAACTCTGCAGCACCTCTCAGATGTAGGCTGAAGCCTAATTATGAGAAGCTGCCGGTCAGAAGGATGCTACTATCTTGGGACATCAGTGCGATCACTTTCAGGATAGTAATAAACAACAGGCCTTCAAGCCCCCAGGGGATGGAAAACAGACTAGATTAGTGTGTGGGGTTCTCTTTCCTTAGGATAACATCATTAGTGGATAGTTCCATGTATTTGTAGATCTTACAAAAGAAAACACAGGAAGGTATTTTATTTTTATTTATTTATTTTTTTTATTTTTTGGTTTTTCGAGACAGGGTTTCTCTGTGTAGCTTTGCGCCTTTTCCTGGAACTCACTTGGTAGCCCAGGCTGGCCTCGAACTCACAGAGATCCGCCTGGCTCTGCCTCCCGAGTGCTGGGATTAAAGGCGTGCGCCACCACCAGCCCGGCTTATTTTTAAAAAATTCACTTGTGTATGAGTGAGCCTTTTTTTGTAGGGGTGTGTCCTTGCACGGGTGGAGGCCAGGGGAGGATGTCAGATGTCCTCCTTCGAAACAGAGTCTCTCACTTCACCTGGAGCTAAGTTGGCGGCCAGCGAGCCTCAGGGATCTTCCTGTCTCTGTCCCCACCTCCTGAGGTTCTGGGGACCCTCCTGTCTCTGTCTCCCAGCTCCTGATGCTCTGGGGATCTTCCTGTCTCTGTCTACCTCCTGAGGTTCTGGGGACCCTCCTGTCTCTGTCTATTTCCTGGGGCTCTGGGACCCTCCTGTCTCTGTCTACCTCCTGGGGTTCTGGAGACCCCTCCTGTCTCTGTCTACCTCCTGGGGTTCTGGGGACCCTCCTGTCTCTGTCCCCACCTCCTGGGGTTCTGGGGACCCTCCTGTCTCTGTCCCCACCTCCTGGGGTTCTGGGGACCCTCCTGTCTCTGTCCACACCTCCTGGGGTTCTGGGGACCCTCCTGTCTCTGTCCCACACCTCCTGGGGTTCTGGGGACCCTCCTGTCTCTGTCCCACACCTCCTGAGGGTCTGGGGACCCTCCTGTCTCTGTCCCACAGCTCCTGGGGTTCTGGGAGTTTTAACTCTGGTCTCCATGTCTGTGCAGCAAGCATTCCTATCTTCTGAGCCATATCCTTGGCTTTTTTTTTTTTTTTTTTTTTTTTTTTAAGGTAAAGTATCTTCTGGCCTGGTTAAGAGTTTTGTAAACCTGGGAGTCGGGGACGAAAACTGAGCTCTCCCATTGTTTGTTAACAGAATCTTGGATTGTTTAGCAGCTCAGGTTAGAGCATCTACCTTCCTGGCCGTTGTTTCTAGAGATGCCATTTGAACAGGTCTGTAAGCTGAAGGCGTGTGGATGACATCATGTGGCTCACACGTTTAAAGGCAGACTCTCCACATTTGGAACATATGACGTGTGACACATGATTTCATGTGATGTAGTAGCAGCAATATAGACTGTGGGTTTTTTTTTACTTTCTTTTCTTTTTTTTTTTTTTTTTTTTTGGTTTTTCGAGACAAGGTTTCTCTGTGTAGCTTTGGAGCCTTTCCTGGAACTCATTCTGTAGCCCAGACTGGCCTCGAACTCACAGAGATCCACCTGGCTCTGCCTCCCAAGTGCTGAGATTAAAGGCATGTGCCGCTGCCGCCACCACCACCACCACCACCTGGCTGACTGTGGGTTTCTTACACATAGGCTTTGGATATGTACTTCAGACTTAAATGACAGTATGTCTCACATAGATGGGCATCTTGATGGTGCGGCTCCACAGACCGAGGAACTTGAACATCCAGGGCACAAACCCCATGCATGCAGAGATGCTCTGCCTTCTTTCTGCTGTATCCATATTTGCTTCCTTCCCAAGACTCCATTGCAAGCACATCCTCCTTGAACTGAACAAACATTACAAAGCAAGAAAGAAGGGAATCATGTTGTTAGGGCAGCACTCACTGGAGAGATGGCTCAGTGGTAGGAAGGCTTGCTGCCCTTGCAGAAAACTGGAGTTTGGTTCCCAGCGTTGGTGTTGGGTGGCTCACAACTGCCTGTGACTCGAGCTCCTGTGGTTCCAGTACCACCGTAGGGCCTCTGGGGGTACCCACACACATGTGCACATCCACACACATCAGTAAACATAGAATCAGCCTGTTAAAATAGGAATGACTAGCACTGTCTCCCTTTCTTCTTGACGATCCTAACGTCCTTTTCTTTATTCCGAGTATTCCCAGTGATGGCAAGCATTTTGGAGACGGGCTTTTTCTTTTTTCTTTCATATATACTGGATTTCCATAGTATTGTGGTAGTACATTATTAATCCAGGAGACAAAGACTCAGTCGTCGCTGGAATCCGGTCACTATGAATGCCAAACACTCAGCCGTGTTTGCTCACCTCAGTGTATGTTCCCGGCAGCTGCTTGACCCTCACTTTGAAACTCAATGCCTTGTACACACCCTCAGTATTTCCTGTGCTGCAGCGTTACCCAAGAGAAACTTCTTTGTGACCATTTCATAACCGCCACATGGATGTTGTTATTGAGTTAAAATGGCTGCTGCCTAAATTTTAAACAAGTAACTGTAGCCACAGACTTTCAGGTTCGGAGAGGGAGTCGGAGATTGGAACTTAGAACAGTCAATAGCACCATACAGATAAGAATGGATGCTGTTTGTTTAAAATTACCCTAAGACACGGGCTGGAGAGAGGGTTCAGCAGTTGAGAGCACTGGCTGCCCTTGCAGAAGATGCAGATTTCATTCCCATCATCCACATGGCAGCTAGGAACTGTCTGGATCTCCAGTGCCAAAGGATCTGATGCCCCCTTCTGGCCTACGCTAGGCACACGTGTGATGCACAGATAGATATGTAGGCAGAACACCTATGTACATATGTATTAAAATAAAATAAAAGACTAAGGGCTGGAGAGATGGTTCAGTGGTTAAGAGCACTGGCTGCTCTTCCAGAGGTCCTGAGTTCAATCCTAGCACCCGCATGGTAGCTCACAACCATCTGTAATGAGATCTGGTGCCCTCTTCTGGCCTGTGGACATACATGCAGACAGAACACTGTATACATAATAAATAAATAAATAAATAAATAAATAAATAAATAAATAAATAATCTTTTAAAAAATACAAAACAAACAAACAAAACAAACAAAACCCCAAACCTAATCTTAGAACTAATAATAAAAAAAGTACCTTTCCAGTTTGGTGGAGGTTCTCATCCTATGAGAGAGAAAGGCACCCTGGCTATAAAAAGGTCAACCATGGGCTGAAGACATAAAGGGTACTGTTAACAGCTGGCACTTAAGATTCCAGTGTTCCAAACACTTTGTAGGTATTTCCCTATCTATTCCTTACAGAAACCCTTGTGATTGGTGCCACCATTGCCACCTTTTTTTTAAATTAGGGGTTCAGGGCCAACTAATGGTTCAATTGCCAAAATTATCACCTTAATATTTTTATTTGTGTGTGTGTGTGTTGTTGTGTGTATACCCATGTATGTACAGTGCCTGTGGACACCAGAAAAGGGCTTAGGATCATTAAGCTGGAATTCCAGGTGGTTGTAAGCCATCAGGTCAGTGTGAATGCTCGGAACAGATCTCTGGTCTCCTGCAAGAGCAACAGGTAGCTCTTAACGACTGCCGAGCTGTCTCCCCAAACCCCCCAAAATTTAAAGACATAGTTGGCTGCTTTTACTTGTGATTCTAGAACCAACCACCACCTCATTCTATGAAGTAAAATTATTCTGATGAACGGAGCGGAGAAAGGTGAGTTTTAAGGCGGAAAAAGACCAAAGAAAGCAGACACAGAAAACGAAGTCTGCCCTGGTCTTCACAGCGTCTGAGGCGGGAGAAAGCAGAAGGCTGTCCTCCGATGCTGAGTGAGGTCGAGTTTGGTTTCAAGGCACTTGGCACAAGCGACTCCATTCCGGCCTCTGCTGGAGCCTCACACGGGAGGGTAGTTCCACACAGCGCCTGCCCTTCATGTAACCATGTGTGGGAGGGCCAGGACCCCCTTGGGTCTCACGGGATGACATTCCATCCTGTGGCTCTCTCTGTCTCTCAGCTTTTCTTGCTTATTTGCTCTGTGGCAGAGTACAGAAAATGGGGTGGGGTCAAGACTGGAGGCCGTAGATGGTGGGACACTGATTCTGAGGAAAGGGGCTGATATGATCAGGCCTTACTAAGACATCAGAAGACTGAGAGTTAAAGCATCAAAAGTGAAAACCCTCTCTCTATATCTGTATTTGCATTTTTCCTTTCCAGGATCCATTCACAGTTACAATGAAAGAACAATCAGGTCGAACTAAAATGAAAAGGTCCTTTCAGTACAAGTATTGAGTCTCCAAGAAGGCCCAAAGTTTCCATCATAAAAAAAAAATGCCATTGCAGGGCATGGTAGTGCAGAGGCAGGGGGATCCCAGGGAGTTCAAGGCCAGCCTGGCCTACATAGCGAGCTCCAGGCTAACCAGGGCTACATAGTGAGACCCTGTCTCAAAAACCAAAATAACAACAGAAACTGAAATCCAATAAAGCGCTTCTTGGTATGTGTGGTGGTTTGAAAGATAATGACCCCCAAAGAGAGTGGCACTATTAGGAGGTGTGGCCTTGTTAGAGGAAGTGTGTCACTGTAGAGGCAGGCTTTGAGGTCTCATATGCTCAAGATACTGTCCAGTGTCTCAGAACATTTTCTGTGCCTGTGAGTCAAGACATAAGAACTCTCAGCTCCTTCTCCAGCACCATGTCTGCCTGCATGCTGCCATGCTTCCCGCCATGCTGAAAACGGACTGAACCTCTGAAATTGTAAGCCACCCCAATTAAACGTTTTATAAGAGTTGCCGTGGCCATGGTGTCTCTTCACGGCAATAGGAACCCCAACTAAGACGGTATGACATCGGTAGGGTTTTTATTTCTGAAAGCAAAAGAGTGCACTAAGACAGCCACGTCGTATTTCCATTCATCAGTAGCAATAGTAAGTGCATTAGTTACCTTTTCCATTTCTGTGAAGAAACACTTGACAGAAATGACGTAAGGAAGGGTTTGTTGTCACTTGTGGTTTTAGACCTTTCGGCCCACTGTGGAGGGAAAGACTCGGCAATGTGGCTCAGTCTTTGGCATTGCGTTTAGGTGGCTGCTCACATTGTGGTAGACGGGGGAACAGAAAAGCAGGCCAGAACCAAGGCCAGGTGTGGCTTCCAAAGGCCTACCTCTGGGACCTACTTCTGACATCCAGGCCCCATGGCCAACAGGCTCTACAGCCTTCAAAATGACGTCCTAGCCGGGGAGTAAGCACTCAGTGCGACACTTCAGATTCAACCCAGCACAGCGAGTGAGGTCTGGTCACTCCCTGCTCGTGACGGGCATTATTGCATTGACATGGAGTTAGTTGCTTTCAGAGTCACGGGCTGCCCAAACTGGCAGCTGGATTCTCTTGCTTCCTCACCGTTAAACTCCAAGTATCTCATTTGGTATTCGTTTCTACCCACAGGTCCCACCAGGCGAACAGCATGCCACTCAAGGACTCAACACCCTGTCCTTCAGACCTCAAGCAGCTGTCCCTTCCTGGCCAAGGCGCCTCTCGGCCTTTACCTACTCTTGCCAGGACTTTTCAGTCCCCGGCAGCTACTGGCGAGGCTGCCTGCTTGCCGCTGCCAAACACCGAACAGCAGGAGCCTCCAGATTGCAAAGACACCCCAGGAGAAATTCCCCTCAGGTTTGATGGGAACAGAAATGAGTGTCGCTTAAGAAATTCTCTCCCAGCTTCTCCTTCGCACAGCAGCTCCAGCGTAGAGAAGGAGGAGTCGGAGCTCCACCTGTATGTTATTTCCGAAACCTCATCAATATTTCTGCACTTAAAGAGTTCGTGGAACAACTACATTATAGTAAGTGCCCTCACACGGTAGCCTTTTTTTGTTTTTGTTTTTGTTTTTGTTTTCGAGACAGGGTTTCTCTGTGTAGCCCTGGCTGTCCTGGAACTCACTCTGTAGACCAGACTGACCTCAAACTCACAGAGATCCACCTGGCTCTGCCTCCTGAGTGCTGGGATTAAAGGTGTGCGTCACCACCGCCCAGCCACAAGGTACCCTTGACCTCAGTGTGTTTGCTTTTCGGGGGGGGGGGGGGGGGGGGGGGAGGGGGATGGTGGCGGGATGGTGTGTGTGGCAAACATGCTTTCCTGTTCTCTCTCTCTACTTGGGGGATTTAGCCTTGGAATTTAATGATTGTCGTAAAAGATAGGAATGCACCAGAGAAGTAGAGAGCTTTTCTTCAGGTGTTTGCAATAAGTTGAAATGCTTATTGATGAATAATGTCTTGGGGACTGGAGAGTTGGCTTGGCAGTTCCGAGCACTGCTGTTCTTGCCGAGGGCCTGGGTTTAATTCCCAGCACCCACATGGCAGCTCACAACCATCTGTAGCTCCAGACCCAGGAGATCTGATGCCCTCTTCTGGCCTCCTTGGGAACCAGGCATGCATGTGGTATACGTATATATACATGCAGGCAAACAGACATACATATGAGAGAGAGAGAGAGAGAATAAAATAATAGTGTCTCAGGGGAGGCAAAGACAGTCATGACGGAGTCTTTTCCAGGGGGTTTCGCAGTTAGCCGGGGTGACACAGAACTCAGATAAAATTCAACACTGTCGATATGTGTCTGTATTTCTGTTTTTTAAACCTTATTATCATCATCGTGCGCATGCGTGTGTGATGTGTGAGGGGCACACGCATGGGGGACAGCTTCTCTCCGTCTTGACGTAGGTTCTGGAGACTGGACTCAGGCTGGTGGAACAAGTGTCTCCCCCCGCCGCTGACCCATCTCCAAGGCCTGTCCTTGTGTTTCCTTATTGCACTAGTCCAACAGCAACTGGGAGGGCTGTCTTCATCTGGATATTGTCTGAGTCTCTGTTCTCCTTTCCCTCCCTCCTTCCCTCCCTTCCTCCCTTTCTTCCTCTCTTCCTCCCTTCTTCTCTTCCTCCCTTCCTTCCTCCATCCCTCTCTTCCTCCCTCCCTTTTTTTTTCTTTTTTCTTTCTTCTTCTTGTGCTCGTTCCATAAGACAGACCAGCCTTGAATTTGCAGCAATACTTGTGCCTTGGCCCTCCGAGTCCCGGGATGGTAGTCAGGAGCCGCCACACCAGCTAAACTGGGGCTGCTGAAGCATGAACGGGTTTAGGTGCTTTATTCGGCATTACAGAGAACTCTAGTGAGGAACTTTTAGCCAGAACTCTCCCTTTGGCGATAAAGCAATGGCGGGCGGGCGCTGGACTGCTGAGCCCCCTCCCGATCTCGGTTACGGAGACTTCACTACACTAGCATCAGCTGAAAAAGTACCTTACTAGCTGGTGTGCTCATTAATGCCCACATTCGGTCCACGCACTCAGGAGGCAGACCTCTGTGAACTCAGGGGTCAGTCTGGTCTACATACCCCGCCCAGGACAGCCAGAGTCACATGGTGAGACTCCATCTCAAAGACACAAACACAACAGCAACAACAAAAAACTTACAAAAAATGAGGGGCTGGAGAGATGGCTCAGCGGATAAGAGCACTGGCTGTTCTTCCAGAGGACCTGAGTTCAATCCCCAGGAACCACAGTGGCTCACAGCCATTATCATGGGATCTGACTCATATACATAAAATACATAAATAAAGCTTTAAAAAATATATATTTTGAGTTATCTTAGGTGATTACTAATTTTTATTAATATTCTTCCAATATAAATTTAATAAATATGAAACATTATCTTGTACAGAAGGAACTAGTAAGAAGGAGTTTTTTCAGTGGCTTAAAATGAAATATAAGCCAGGTGGTGGTGGCGGGGGTGGCGGTGGCGGTGGTGGCGCACGCCTTTAATTCCAGCACTTGGGAGGCAGAGGCAGGTGGATCTCTATGGAGCCAGGACAGGCTCCAAAGCTACACAGAGAAACCTTGTCTCAGAAAAACCGGGGGGGCGGGGGGGGGGGAAGAGAATACTTATGTTTGCAGACCTAAAACTTATGGCTGAACTTGATAAATCATTTTTTTTTAAAAGATTTATTTATTACGTATACAATGTTCTGCCTGCATGTATCCCTGCAGGCCAGAAGAGGGCACCAGATCTCATTACAGATGGTTGTGAGCCACCATTCGGTTGCTGGGAATTGAACTCAGGACCTCTAGAAGAGCATCAGTGCTCTTAACCTCTGAGCCATCTCTCCAGCCCCTGATAAATCATTTTTAAAATACAGAATTTGGCCAGGCATGGTAGCATGTGCCTTTAATCCCAGGGTTGGGGAGGCGGA